GACAGCTGCGTGATTACATCGTGGTGTATGAGATCGAAGATCCACTGCCCGATAAACAAGGCTGCGAGAACCGTTCTGATATGGAAGAAGACTCCCTTGCAGGGAGAGCGTTGGTTGGAATTTAGCGAGTAAATAAGAAGAAATAAAGTAGGCGCCATCCCCGCCCCAGCGTGACCCACCGCAGGAAGAATGATAGGGATCGGCACGATCTCGTCAACCGCGCGGCTTGGTGATGGCTGCTACCGAGTCGAAGAACCATTCTGGAAGGATCGATTCATCGGGGTGGAAATGTCTTAGCCTGACCTTGCTTTGACCTTCATAGTTCATACTACTGTGCCATACAGCTTTTCTTTCTTTATTCTTCAAGTTGTTTCACTTTTCTTCGAATGAGGCTGTCCGAGTGAAAAAGACTCATTGCTGCGAGGCATGACCCCACCACTATAGTTCAGCAACATCCTGCTTCCTCATTAGAGATGTTGATAGTCAGTCTTCATCCCACTAATTAGAAGGGGCTGGGTTTGCGTGGCGTTGTCTCGGAAGGGTAGCAAGAACGGCTGGCACACAGCAGCTGAGTCGGTGGGACGTGCTGTTGTAGGCGAGCTGCAATCCGACCTGCGACAACCAGCATTATCTTCTCGAGCCACTGAGATGGCGACAGGCAGACATATTCCAAGTTTTCATGCCAGGCCAATTGGAAGCCGACGGAGCAGAGTTACTTGACTAGTGCGCGTTCCTCGACTTAGTTAGTGAGCAACCGTCCAGTGTGGATGGATAAAGATTTTCTCTTCTTGCTTTGCAATCATGGCCTGCCTCCAAAATCCGGACTGGATCAGCTCATGTCCGTCGTATCGGCATACGGGAAAAGCAAGAACCAGTAAGCGACTAAGGGACAAAAAGGCAAAGCGTGGCCGGAGTCCCGGCCAAAAATAAACCATGGTCGGGAGTTCCGTCTGGAACTGATAAGTATGTACGAAGAAGAGGAAAAGGCCGACTGGTGAGTGAGTGAGAAGTGAAAAAAAACAAACCTTAAGGCAGAGAGCGGCCCTCAAATTTGAGTCAGAATGATGTCGATGGCAGATGACTGATCTTCCATGCTTACTTCAGATCCGAGTCTGGAATCGTCGACTGAATTCGGCATTGAGGATGTGCACACCAGCAGGGGTCGATCAGGCGGCAAGAGAATGTACAGTACTCAGTACAATACATTCCAATCCATCCATGACTGACAGCGAATCTGTGATTTGTGATGATCTGGACCAGGTTCGTCCCTGGGGGGATACGGTGACACATGGTGCCAGTCCTAGTCCATGGATCTGAAGCCAACGAGAGTCTTCCAGACGGTGGTTGGGCCCCTTTCCTGCTAATTGATTGGCCGGGTCATGACCAGGGGAGGGGAAAGCTGGCGTAACACTTGGCGAAGTATGGCTACTAAGTATCCGGTTCTTCCTGGTTTGTGAAGATATCCGATGGTCCCAAGGATAAGTTCAATCCCCAACCCAATGTCTTTAACCGGGGCAAAATTGGCGATGCAGGTGGCTGAGTATGCAATACTCCAATTGACAAACTGTGAATCAGGTGATTCAGTTGAGTCCAGTCAAGAGTGTTGAGTAGTGGATGGTCAATGGAGAGATGAAGGTGGTGATACTAGTAGTAATGGTGGTGGTGGTGGTGGTGGACAAACACTTGATCGAAGCTTTCTGGGGTAGATAAGAAAGAGAAGTTGTGCATTTGGCAGTATTCAATCATCCATTCATTATGAAAGGATTATCCCAAACTGTTAATCTCACCACTTACTACTCGTACACAGTGCACACCCACCTTACCCACCCACTCACCCATAACCCACGCACACATACGAACATTAGAGTATTAATAGAGACAAACAAGCGTTGCAAAGAAAAAAGAAAATCCGGTGATCCTCCCCAGTGGTCCGCTCTCCATCTGATAGGCAGAGTCTTAATTTGTCCATCCATCGGGTCCCAGACTCCCAGGAAGTGATCCCCTCTTAATTGCGTGGCGCCTGTCGTCAACACCACTGGCCAATTCTCAAGTCAAATACCCTCAATGACCCTCCCTCCATGATCGCTTGACTTGAATTCTGATTTCTTCAGTTACTTCTTGTTTGAGGCCAGTTTGTTGACCTTCGTTTGAGTGCTTTGTTGAATTCTTCTCCACCCATCCATTCTGCATATAACTCCCTCCATTATCGGCCCCCCCCCCTCCAAACAGGCCTACCACAGACTACTTTAGCACCGGCGTCATTTTCCCTACTGTCGATCGCTGTGTGACAACCACAATCGCTTGACTTGTGTGCTCTGACAGAACCATCACTTTCCAGAAGATCTCACTGTCCTGTCTGTGGAGTCCTCGGTAGTTAACATACGTACCTACACTGCTAGCCTTAAAAGCGACGGTCTCCACCCATTTCGCTCGTTGACGCTACTTGACGCTACCAAGTCCTGGTTCGCATCGCCGTCGTCGAACTTGTTGTTCTGTCATTGTAAAAGACGAGAGAACAACTCAACAACAATACTGTCAAATTACTTCGTCGCCCGCAGAAGCTCCTGTTCGAGAACGTGTATAGAAGTTCGACTCCCTCCGCAGTCTGCAACGTGATCCATAAGAAAAGTGGTCTCGATACCCCACGTTCTGGTCGCTCGTTCCTCTCGTTGGCTGGACTGAGTCGTGCAGTTCTGAAACCGCGAACAAAAACGTGCAAAAACCACAGAAAGGCAGAAATCGTTGCCAGCGATCATCGTTCGATCCTTGGCAGTTCCCACCTGGATCGTGCTTGCGCTCCACACCCGCCGCCATAGCTAAGACAGCGCGCTGCGCAAACCTGCTGCAGTTGTTGGTTATCAGGCGCTAAAGCAGGAGTCCCCGACGATAAATAACCATGGCCACCTCCCAGTCGGTCGCGCCTCCTCCCAGGCATAATCGGGGTTACAGTTTTAGTGGGAAGTCGAACAAGTCTCAACAGTCGGGCCATTCCAGCAAGAAAAACCAACTCACTGAATCCGCCGAAGAGAAGCATCGCCGTCATCTCAACACTAAAGCCGATCCGATGGTTGCTATGAGCGAAGCGCAGCCTAGTACGTCTCTACCCGGAAATTCCCCCTTATCGCACTTCCTGGCCAGCTTGACTCCCCCGACAATTCTCCTTTTTGGTTTCTTCCTACCATTCTATCCCCAAACACTGTTTACTCCACTTTTCGCCAAGCTCTCGCGTCGCTCGGGTGGCTTTGCGCAGACCTTCCCGACTAACTATGTTTCCTAGATACGGTTGCTCTCGAAGAGTCGACGCTGGGTTCCTTGCGGACTATGCAGCACAAGGATCAGTACGGCAATGTCATTAGTACGTTTACCTCCCTTCAATGTCTCAGATGTGTTCGTTCATGCGGGGGAGCCTTTGTACTAAACCGTTTCCCCCTTTCTTTCCTGAAATAGCTGATCCCGACCTTTCAAATCCTACGCGCCCGAGATTTGAGCGCCCGCTTGACACTATCCGTTCCTTCGAAGCTGCGATCTATGGATCATACAGCAGTAGGCCTGTGTCGTACGCAAGGACAGGTGAGTCTATCCCCCTTACTTCGGCAGGCTGATTCCGGCATCAAATTAATGATACCTAGCAGAGGAATCAACACCCGCGACGCCAGAGTACAGCCGACGGGGAAGCTACTATGGAGGTACGACTCACTCCTCCCTCACCTACCAGGAGGCATGCGCCTCGCATTGTCAACGTGCTGGTCTGTCAATGGCGAAGTTTCACTGTGCTAATTGAGGGTCCCTACAGCGCCCAACGGAGGGTATTCCAGCAAAGCGCACTACGACCAGAATGGCTACCACAACAGCCGAGGCACCTATTCGCGACCGGACAGCTACGTGGAGAACGGCAACGGCCAAGCCGACAACTACTACCCCTACAATCATGGCGGCGGCGGCCGACCGCGACCACGCCACCAAGCGCGGATGAACACCGAACAGAGCGGATATTCGCAGCACGCATACCAAAAGTCGTACGACAATGTGACTGCTGCGTCTGGCTCGGGCTCGGGCAGCAACGGCGAGACCTGGGCCAATTCGACGGACCCAAGTTCGGTCAACAGCTCGAACGATCAGTTCCACCACCAGCAGCAGCAACTACAGCAACAACAACAACAGTATCAGCAGCAGCAGATGGCCGAGAGCTACGGGTTTCAAGGGTTCGGCGCAGGTCCCAGTTTCGAAAGTGGTCAGCCCGCCGCCGCCGGTGGACGCATCAACTTTGGCAGCAGTAATCCTCCAGCCGTTGATCCCAACGCCGGGGGCCCCGTCGGAGGTGGTCCACCGCCCACGGCGGCGAACGGCCGTCGTCATCTGCGCAAAGCGACAAACGACACCGAGATGAGCAATGATTCGAAGCGCAAGAGCTGGTTCAAACGTCGCTTCAGCAAGAACTAAAATCAATTCCCCTCCCCGATTCGACGATCCTGGTGGTCGCCCTCGTCCCTTTTTTTTTCTTCTCGTCTCCTTTCTTTGTATGGGTGTACTGCAGTCAAAACCGGCGTTCAAACGGAGCTTCGCTTAACACCTTCCCTTTGACAACATGCTTGCGCTGAACACGACAACACTGGGATTACTCGGCATGGATTATGTACGTTTTCGCTCGAGGAGTTGGATTCGTTTTTGTTTCGAGTTCACTCGTGTAATTATTTGAGGCTTTCTTTCTCCTTTCACATTTCGCATGAGGTTGATGGGTTGACGAGACCATGATACACGGAATGCCTTGCTCTCCTTTTTATGATATTTGATGGAACCCCTGCCCCCCTTACCCAGGCATTGTTTTTTCCTCCAATAGATTTCTGATGTTGTCCCGATACCAATGGCGAATCTACCGATCCTTTTTAATGAATGGACAAACGAAACGAGAACTTGGTTTCATTCAATCCAATCTTTATACTTCGATTCTTTGGTGTTTTCATTATACCTATGATAGACGGTGTATGGGGAAGTACTGCAGAAAAATGGAGTAATCATTACCAACACTACCTAGTACTGTACCTCTTCTCTAGTATCTGACTCGTAATCGCAAACAACCAAACAAACCAGGGAATCAACCAAGAAAAATCCAAGCCCGAGACAGAAAAAGACAACCCACCTCACCTCACCTCTCTACCCCGTCCAATCTATATATACCACCAACAGTACAGCATCAGCTTACTTGCGCCCGAAAATCTTATACTTCAATTTATCCGCCAACCCTTCATACTGATCATGCCGGTGCTGATGCTTCTTCTCCTTCTCCTTGCGGTGTTCCTCGTCGAGATGCACGTTGCCTTGTCCGCCGCGCTGCCCCAGCCACAAGAAAATGAGCATTCTCTTCGAGCATAAAACGGTTCTTCACTCTCCGAGATGGGGGCTGTGCTTACACCAGTATGATAATCCCCATCGACGGACTGCCGGATCGCCAGCTCGGGAATCATTTCCGCGTCGTGCGGCACCTTCGAGGTGGGACGGACATGCGGGGAGCCGATGTTGCCTGCTCCGCCGCGCTTTTTGAGGCGGGTTAGATTGGGTTTGTGGGATGGAGATGGGCAAGGGGGGTGGTGGTGGTGGTGGCTTACACCGGCGGAGTAGGCACCGTCGCCTTGGTCGCCGTAGACACCTTCACGGACGATGGCAGCGTCGACGTATCTAGATTCATTCAACGGGTTGTGGTTAGGGTGTTTGTTTGAGGTTTGAGGGGCTGGGTGGATGGGGTGGTAGGTGGTTTACTCGGTTGAGTCGGCGCCGATGTTGCCTTGGCCTGGTGCGTTCCTTGTTAGTATGGATGAGTCCGGGAGTTGGGGGAATCGGGGTCGGGTTCGGTGGTGGTGGGAGGGTGGGAGATAAGGATGAGGTTTGCAAGGGACGAGGGATGGTTCGGGGTGGATTGCGTACCTCCTCGGCCGTGCGATACGATGGGATCGTGTTCGCCCATTTTTTTTATTCTTTTGAGGTGTTGCGAGGGTGGGTTTTATGGTCTGCTGGTTGGGTGTTCAGCAGTTAGTTTGGGGTCGCCTGATGGTTGATTGCGCGATAGCGGGATGCGATGCGATGGAGTAGACAAGTTGGGCGCAACGGTTGAGGGGGACGGTTGACATACCTTGTAGATTGAAGAGGAGTTGTCTTGGGTTTAAAGACTATGCGATCTATTTGCGCGCTCAATGTCAAGGGGAGCGAAAGAGTATGTCAGATGTGACTGAAATATGGTGGCGGGAGGAGGTTCGTCGCAATATATAATAGCTCGTGTCGCAACGGATTACTGCCCTAGTAAGTTACTTTGTCGGGCTGAGCCACCGCGCCTTCGGAGTGTTTCGAGTGTTCGAGATGACTCTCCCACCCGAGGTCAAGGGACCATGGAAAACTTAATCTCTTCTAGTGTTCTAGTTTCAGTCCCACCTAAAGGGCTGCAGGCGCAGGCGTCTTGCCCATCGGCTAATCATTGAGCGAACTGGAAGTTACTTTACTAAGTTTACTCACATCCGTAGTTAACTTATCGTATCTCCAGCCATGCGCGGCCAGGGGAGATGACGTCTTGATACTGATAAGATGCTCCTCCGGGTGTGATTGGTTCCATGCGTGACTAAAGCGGGTTTGTCCGCCGATGATAAGGCCTCAGGCGCAGATTGCCGCCCTGCCCCTGTTTTTTATCACCGGCCTCGGTGCTCGCTGCTGAGCCTGCCACAAGTGCAAATAATCTCATCATTGTACGGAAATGCTGACTACCCCTTCTCAGAGATAACTACAGTACGTTTTGCAGGGCCGAGAAAAGTGCATACAGATCAGACAAGACCATTGAAAGTGGCCAAAGCATCTACTCACCACTACTTCTTCTCCGCAGCTGGGCCTCCGCCGGTCGTTGGCAGACCCATGAAGATCTTGAACGAATCGTAACTGTCACAAGTCAGCTCCTGTCTGAGAAAAGATCGACTGTGATGGTCATGAGGTAATACGTACATCATCCATTGAAGTCCGGTCTATACGTGATATGCTGTCAGTCAGAATCCCTAAGATTAGACCAAGGAAGACTTACCAAGGTGCCGATCATGACAATACGGACGGGAAGACCATTCCAGAGGCCGCGGTATCCAATGTCCTTATAGATGCGACTCATCGCTGCGCCGAAGGCTTCGCCAGGCTGACGGTTGGCATTCAGCTTGCTGACCATCACATCGGCGGGGTGCGACACAACTGCGCAAAGGATACCGGCCAGGTATCCACCAGTGAAGGCCACGGTAGTCTGGGCACCCTTGTTGTAGTCGGACTTCTGACCGGGAAGGTAGTTGTAGATCATCTCCACGATGGTCTCAAAGGACGCGAACTTCATCATGGTGTACGGAATCTGACGGCCCCACAATGGATAGAGACCCTTGTATAGACTGAATAGGTTAGCCACTACCTTTCGACTATATGACAGATAAAGAACGCTACTCACCCAGCCACGCCCTCTTTGGAGACCACGTTGGAGATGCCAGTGAAGGTCGACCGGATGTCTGGAGGAATGGTTGTCTGCATACGTACTTTGACGCCCTCAAAAGGACAGAGGGCTACGTCAGCGATAAACTCTGCAGACGCACTGGCAGCCAGGTACAAAGAAGTCTTCCATCGAGTCGCGTTTTCCACGCCCACAAGGTCACTGTAGAACTTCTTGAAGTACTCGTAGCCGCCGTATTTGAATGCACCTTGGGCCTTTCAACGAGTCAGTAAGAAAGGGTGATTGCACGGACACCCGCGCTTACGCTGTAACCAAAGAAGGTTGGTCCCCAGCCAGTGAATACTCCTCGCAATCCTTCAGCCCCACGGATTGTGCGGAATGCCTCTAAATTGCTCTTGTATAGGAGAGGATCGACCTGACGGCGACACTTGATCAAGTCTAGAGGGGTCACAGCGGTGTGGGTCAAACCCTATGCACGGGGCAACTATTAGTACTCTAAGGATCGTGTACTCTGTAGAGTAAGATTATCCCATGCATGGTATGATACTCACGCAGGCAAGCAGTCCACCGACAGTGCAAGCCGCATAGTATTTGGGAGTCCATGGTTCAATCTTGCCTGTCTTGGCTTGAGCCTTCTGGCTTGCAAGGTCGAGCTCCCGAGTCGCTTCCTTAGCCAGCGCGTCTGCCTTCTTCTTGGTATCCTCAATCACGCTCCAGGCAGGAAATGGCTCTCGCTTCTGCATTTCCGGCGCTGCCGACGGCTGAGGATGCGAGCCGGATTGCCCCAGTGGATGCTGAGAGGAAAATGCTTGCGCGATCACGCCTCCAGTAGGAAACATGATGGCTAGAATGGTCCAGTCGCGCTGGAAAGCACGTTAGGGTATTCCCAGTGAAAAGTGTGATGGCTGATAGATGAAACCCTAGAAAGCTGGACTGACAGGCTCCTTATCTATGAGTATGTCTACAATTGGCCCCCACTTTCAGCGATGGAGATAGAGCGGAGTTAAAGAGCATGAAAGAATTGATCGACGGCAAGCTTGGGACCCTCTGAGTAACCAAGCACGACGTGAGCTGAAAACAGAAAGGTTTGACCACGGAAAGTGTGGAGCTTCGGTGATGTCTTCGGGATGGAAGGGTTTGAGGAATGGGGAAAGGTGGAAGTGATGACAATAAGCTTGAGGGGTGGGAAAATGGACGGTTCTGCCGATTCATGACGTCGCACGGGAGCCAGGCGGAGGCTAACCCGTTTCAGCTCATCCCACCAACTGGCAGGCCCGCTCGGCGATGGATTGAATTTTGGACCCGACCACTTAACTTACCACCTGACAGTGACCGAGTGGATTGCTTGACTCACGCAATATCAACCTCACCTGTTCATTTCCACGCCGTCCAAACCCGGAATTCTAAGTTCGCTCCCCGACAGCCGTTGTCGAATTGAAAGCTCCGTGCATCACCAAGCGAACGGACCCCTCAGTCCCCCCGTACCCCTCCCTCACTTTCACCATTCCTACTACCACCTCCCCCCACCATGGCCTCTTACTTGAGCGCAAGTGAGGCTTTCGCCCAACAGAAGCTCGCTCAGGATGCACAGCAGCCGGTCTCGCAGTCCGCCTGGGCCGACAAGTACCGTGGTGTCAGTACAACGCTACCCCAAGATATGGGGACTCTCTCAGAAAACTGACTTGCGAATCTAGGCCACGATCGAGGACCTTGACCCTCCCCCGGCGCTGTCTGTCTTCTCCGACGACCCAATCTCCTCTGCTCTACTCGCTGCGTACGAGCGCGATTACACACACCTCACCGTCATCTCCTCGACGAAACGCTCTCTCCTCGGATACCTGAGCATTCCCCGCCTCAAGGAATTGCTAAAGGAGGGCGCCGTGAAGGAAACCGACTCAGTCTCCGCTGCCATGCAGCGGTTCAACCGCAAGCGAGGCACATACCAAGTGATCACGATGGAGACCCCGCTGGAGGAGCTGGAACAATTCTTCGAGAGCGAGACAGATGCCAGTGGAGCCAACCGGGCTAAGCAGACCTTCGCGGTTGTCACAGATGCGTCGCGCAAGTTCGTGCTCGGCGTGGCGACCAAGGCGGACTTGGAGGAGTTTGTCAAGAGGCGCCCGACTTGATTTGAATATATTATTCTTCTTCAATCTGGCCCAATGTTTGATTCCCTGGACGGCCCTTCTCCAAGCTTAGCAAACGCATCCCAAGGCGCGGTTTCCCTACACCCTGGTTCAGATAAAGCCCTTTGCCTACACTCTCCCAAAACCTCGACACCATTACTAGGACTATAGGCGGTCTGCCAGCGTATTGCTTGTTGCGATTGGACAACAATGGTCTACGCCTGACGATAAGCGCCGATACTCGGTCACATTAGGACTTGCAAATTGATATTCTGGAGCAATCACCCATAGACACATGATAGATGCATAGCATACACGAAACTGCCCTTGAACGCCCATAGATCAAACACCTGGTATTGAATGATATTGAAAACAAAGACTGAGTCATACTCGGAACCCGCAACTACTGCGCCTTCTTCTCTTTCTGCTTGGCATCGGCCTCTCTCTCCGCCTGGTCGTCCTTCCACGCGACGTAGACGTAGGAGAAGAGGACGATGTTGGCCATGATGGCTGCAACGATGCCGCCGACAGTGGCGCTTCCTGAATTTCCTGGTCAATACTATGCCTTTCTTTTGCAGAGGGATTACTCCCAGGGCAACGTACCACCAATGAAATCAACCGTGACAAAGTAGATGCCAATAGGTGCAACCACCATAGCGGCGGAGAAGCCCAGCAATTTCATAATCACATTTCTACAGGATCAACTGTCAGTGACGGCTGTATCTCCACACCATTCAGGACAGCACGAGCTGCTCTGCTTTGACTAGATGTAATTCAGGTAGCCGAACAGGCCATCCCCGATGTATAGGGTTTGGGGCCCAACCCGAGCAGTAGGCCATGGGGCGTAGAGTGGCCCCCAACATGGGGAATTGGATGCACTTACGTGGGAACCGCAGGGGTTACATCCGAGTCAGAGGACTTCTCGGACTTCGACGGAGTGACAACATCATTAGCAGAGGATTTATCGACTGCGCGACGAGCGGACATTGTGGACTGGTCTGTGGAGGTGGTGATAGTGATCGTGATGGCGATGGGGGTGATGTTTAATGATTGGCGGTCCACGTGTCAGTGAAGGTCTGCGAAGGTGTGAATAGATTGCTCGGGATGAATGTTAGGGCGTAACACTGTTATAAATGGATAGTGTTGGTTTTCTCGATCAGACACCTTTCTTGCTGATTTAAAGGAGAAGGAACAATAAACACTTCGGCTTAACAACACTTGAATATTGCAGTGATGGTAATTGCGGGTGAACTCATCCCGGCTTCCAGCAGATTCGGGCTGCTGATTGGTTCCCCATCGGATAGATGTTGGAGAACACTTGGAATGGTACGGAAAGGCAACACTGTACAAGTTGATAGACAATTCCAGGCAACGAACATGAAGGAGAATCAATTAGGTGTTGTACCTAAATCAAGCTCCTAGTAAGTATATTAATAGACGATCAGTGGCTGTCTCACTGGCCGCACTCCCCTTGTACAAGCGACATCAAACTGCCTTTCCTGGGCTTAATTGAAGCGCCACTTCACGTGATCGATCGCGTCTGGGCGCGTTTTGCGGAGAAAAACCCAGAGAAACTCAACTTTACTTACGGTGCTTACCGTGTTGGAGGAGGCAATCAATTCGTCTGTTCCGCTCTCTCTCTCTCTCTCTGCCTCTCACACTCTAGCCAGAGACTCCCCCCCCCTTTCTTTACTTCACCATTTCCCCAATTTCCCCTGGCGCATGACGAAATTTCTGTTTTCATTCTCTTAAACTCCCAATTATCTCTTTGAAGAGTCATTCCGTCATGGAAGACTCAGTGCCTGACTCCCCTGTGAACGACAAAAAAGTCGTTCCCGGTACTCCAACCAAAGAGGATACGCAATATGAGACGGTCGCCACCGTTCCTGTTACTCACCACCAAGCGGTGGCCACTCAATCGCTGACCCCGGCCTCTCAGCGCTTCACGCAACCGACCCAGCTGGTTGACAATCCGTACACTGCGAAGGGCACCTCCGTGGTACAAGTGGCCGCCTCTTCCCCGCTAGGTCCTACCTCTTCCCCCTCCCGTCCGACCCCGAACGCTGGCCGTCTCTCCAACCTGATGGCCCCCAGCGGCACGATGTTCCGGCCACCGGTCTCTGCAGGCCCGGCGAAGCGTGCCCCGGTCATCGATCTCGAAGATGACGGCCCCACGTATCGAGGCGGGTCCTCTGACGAGGATGTTCCGAACCTACAAAACCCCGACATCAAACCAGCCATGTTCACCAAATCCTCGCGCAGTCCGGATAAGGTCGCGGACTCGCCGATCGACCGCTTCAAGGAGATCACCACCAGCGCTATCTACAACCCTGCGAAACGCCCCGCCGCGCAGATGGACCCCACACCGAAAGGGATGGCCGTCAAGAAAGTTCGACAGGATGGCCCTTCGCGCGCCCAGCCCGTCGACGGGCAGTACTCGCTCGACAGTATCGAGGACTATAATATCAAGATCAAGGTGCAAAGAATGCTCAAAATCATGCCGCAGAAGTCCGTCCAGTCCTGCGTGCAAGCGCTCGTAGCGAAGCGCGGAAACTACGAGGACGCGCTGGATCTCCTGGCCAGTGCGGAAGGAAAGGATGGCTCATCTGAGGACGAACTGTCCATGTCGCGCCAGTCGAATGCGGCCCCGGCGGCGAAGCAGCAGATCAAGGCGAGAGGGACCATCCAGGACAAATGGTCCGCGGCGAACCTGCAGAGGACGCTCGCCGCGCAGAAGCCGGCGGCGGCGGCACAGGCGGAGGACGATGAGGCCAAACCGCGCAGACGACTAATGAGGGGGCCCAAAACCCGGGTTTCATCTCCGAGCCCCGTGCGCTCGGAGTCTCGTCCCCAGTCCCGCCCGGAACCTGATGCGGAAACCCCTCCCAAGAAACCGGGTCGTTTGGTGCAGGGGCGCAGACCGGAAACTCCCCGGCGCTCGGAGTCTCCAGAAGCCATAATTATCGACGATGACTCCGACTCGGACGTCGAGGAAGCGGTTGGCGATATACAATTCGATCTCAAATTACTGAAATTTTTCAACACATGCAGCGTCTTGGACCTGGCGGATATTGCTGCTATTACTGAGGAAGTGGCACAGCATGTAATTTCGCACCGGCCATTTAGATCTCTGGACGAGGTCCGCGCCGTGCCTGCCCCGGTGAAGGAAGACACGAAGCCGAAGGGGGCCCGCGGTCGCAAAACGCCCAAGCCAATTGGCGACAAGATCGTGGATAAATGTGTTGATATGTGGGTGGGCTACGATGCCGTCGATTCTCTCGTCGCGCGCTGCGAAGCGCTAGGCAAACCGATTGCAGCGGAAATGAAAAAATGGGGAGTGGATATCTTCGGGAAGAAAGACGGAGAGTTGGAGCTGGTATCCATCGATCCTAGGGATTCTCAGTCGCATGACTCCGGCATAGGAACCCCAGCAAGCCAACCCTCGGATGAGGATAGTGACGGGCCCGCGCCCGGTGGGGTGGCGCCCGCACGCAAAGGACGATTCATCTCCCAGCCTTCAATCATGCGAGATGACTTGAAGATGAAGAACTATCAAATTGTGGGTATTAACTGGCTCTCATTACTGTTCGAACACGAGTTGAGTTGCATCTTGGCCGATGATATGGGTCTGGGAAAGACCTGTCAAGTCATTGCCTTCTTGGCTCATCTTTATGAGAAGGGATTCAAGGGGCCACATCTCATTGTCGTACCTGCATCTACCATTGAGAATTGGCTGCGTGAATTTCAGAAGTTTTGCCCTACCCTCTCTGTCATGCCTTATTATGCCGGCCAGGCTGAGCGTGCGGAGATCCGGGAGACGATTGAGGATAACAGAGACAGCATCAACGTTGTCATCACCACTTATACCATTGCGAAGGGCAAGGTTGATGCGCACTTCCTTCGCAATATGGACTTTTGCGTTTGTGTTTATGACGAGGGACACATGTTGAAGAGCAGTACCTCGGTGCTATACGAGAAGTTGATCCGCATCCCGGCACGTTTCAGACTTCTATTGACGGGTACACCGTTACAGAACAACCTACAAGAGCTGGCTTCCTTATTGGGATTTATTCTTCCCAAAGTGTTCCGAGAGCGCAAGGATGAGCTCCATCACATCTTCGCGAACAAAGCGAAGACCGTCGACGAGTCACACTCCGCATTGCTTTCCGCGCAGCGTATTGAACGCGCGAAATCGATGCTGAAGCCTTTTGTGCTACGACGCAAGAAGCATCAGGTCATCGATCTGCCTGCAAAGATCTCCCATGTCGAGTACTGCGAACTCAACGACGCGCAGCGACAAATCTACGAGCATGAACAGGAGGAAGTTCGGAAGCTGCTGGCGGATCGCGCCGCGGGCAAGAAAACTGGCAACAAATCCGCTAATATCCTCATGAAACTCCGTCAAGCAGCCATTCACCCATTGCTGTACAGACGCCACTACACCGATTCCATTCTCAGCCGCATGGCCAAGGCCTGCCTCAGAGAGGAACAGTTTTCCCAATCCAACCCGGACATTATCTTCGAGGAACTTCAACCCTACAACGACTACGAATGCCACTCAATGTGCGTGAAATACCCGGCACTAAGCCGGTTCGCCCTCAAGAACAACGAGTGGATGGACTCGGGCAAGGTGGCCAAGCTCTGCGAGCTCCTCCGGCGCTTCCAGGAGAAGGGCGACCGGACACTCGTCTTTTCGCAGTTCACCATGGTGATGGACATCCTGGAGGACGTGCTGGAGCACGAACAGCTCGGCTTCGTGCGCCTGGACGGCCGCACCAACGTCGAAGACCGGCAGTCGATTCTCGATGCATTCCACGAGCGCACCGACATCCCCGTCTTCCTCCTGTCGACCAAGGCCGGCGGCGCGGGCATCAACCTGGCGTGTGCCAACAAGGTCATCATCTTCGACTCCAGCTTCAACCCGCAGGAAGACGTGCAGGCCGAGAACCGCGCCCACCGGGTCGGCCAGACCCGCGAGGTGGAGGTCATCCGGCTTGTCACCAAGGACACCATCGAGGAGCAGATCTACGCGCTCGGCCAGACGAAGCTGGCCCTCGACCAGGCGGTGGCCGGGGAGGACGCCGCCGAATCCAAGAAAGCGGAGGATGCGGGCATGAAGGCGGTCGAGAATATGGTTCTTGCGGATATGGAGCACCAGTCATGATTTGTTGCATTGCATATGTGAACTTGGGTTTTGATGATAGACATTTCCGGGTTGTACTTTGTTAATTTTCCCCTTCATTTTGTGATGATACGCTTGTTCAGTACGGAGAACTCGGCTTGGCGAGTTCTGCTTTTTCACGTTACGTTCTTGTTTAGAAGAAAGGACCCTTTCCAGGGGCCCTGCATGGCAGATGAAAGGATATCTTTACACATCTAATCAGCGAACCTCGAATCTTTGTGCTTTGGCATCGTTCTCAAACCCATCTGTGGTTATCTACTTCGATGATTGTTCGTTTTCCCTGACAGGTGTCTTGCGCATTTTGATCATATGGAGATGCTTCCAACTCAAGGATACACTATCGGCGCAATTACACCCCGAATTCGCCCCATTCCTCTTCCTCGTTTTCTGAGCTTTTATCTACCGCGTGCATCGCAGTACATCTGCTGCTACTTCCCCTTCACATGTTCTTCTCTTCTTATCTTCTTCACCCGCCCCCCCCTCCTCTTCGACGATTGAAAGGGAACATACACATACACATCATTTCAAAGAAGGAAACGAGGCGAAATAGAGATAGAAATAAAATGAATGACGCTTGATATATGGGTACCCGCCTGGGCGATTCTAACGAACGCATGCTCGATCCGAAACACTTTTATTTTCTGTCTGGGCATGTTCAGGGCTGATGGCAATGGCAATTGCTTAGAGCTGTGTCTCTCTTTCCCCCCAACTGCCTGGATTCATTAATAGAGTCAGCAGATATTCGAAACGAGGTGGGGTAATGCTATGATTGATATTTATTCTCGTTCTCGTCGTAGCCGAGCCCTACTATCCTTTTTGGTCGAGGCCTCGCCCGTGGATTTAGAGCATTGTTTTAGGTCAGAAAGGCTATCACCTCTGGCTAGAGTCATTTGACTTTGAGCGGTCGATGTTGTGCTACTTCGTGGCCGATGGTCTATCGAGTTGTTCTGGTTCTTATACAAAGGGAGAAACATAAGGGATGGATGATGGTATGTGCCTTGTTGATTAAAGAACATAATAAGGTGGGAATCTAAAATTTCTAAACACAAAGTAACAAAAACCAAACCAACCGAGAGCAATCTTCAACACCGGGTAATGCAATCGCAGAAAACGAGTTGATACAGAAAGAAAAAAAAAGCGTGAATACATGAGGTGATAATAGGTAGATAAGGGATGAATCATGCTATCGAAGACTGTGCGGGCAGAAATTATGCGGCAAGTTCCTGTTTCGGGGCAGTGACAGCTTCAGCAGCAGCAGCCGCAGCAGCAGCCGCAGGATCGACGTCCGTCGTGTTGGTGACGGATTTGGTAGGGGGAGGGATCGAGTTGGTGCGAATTGGGCCGCCGGCGTGGGAGAGGACGGGGGAAGTGGGCTTCGAGCGCGAGGCACCACCGTTGCCGGCCGCGCGGGCGGTTTCATTCTTCTCGAGAGCGTTCCGCACGGCTTTGCTGACGGCGTCGCTGGTGTCGTTGTTCTTGTTCGTGGTCTTATCCGCGAGTCCCAGGATCTCGTCGACGCGGGTCGCCGCGGGGATTAGGTCCTCGAAGCCCAAGGCATGGCAGGTGTCGACGTAGGTGCGGGCGGATTTGAAGCGGTGGGCTTCGGGGGACTTGCCCGGCACGAAGATGTTCAGCAGGTACTTGGTGTTGCCGAAGCGGTTCTCGGACTCGAGACAGAACTGCATGTAGTCGTGGACCATCTCCTTCCAGGGCAGGAGGCCGCCCTCGGCCTCCGTGCGGAACGCGGACATGTTCGCCTCGGCGGCGGTGGCGATCATCGCGCCGTCGACCCCGTATTCCTGCATCAGGGCCAGGCCGTCCTCCTTGTTGGCGACGTCGCCGTTGACGACGCACGCCACCCCGGCCTCGTGGCAGATGTCCCGGATCATGCACAACTGGTCGCGGATGGCGCGCTCGCGGGGCCGCATGGGCGGCGTGCGGCAGTGGATGGTCAACCCCGTGATGCCGGTCTTGACGAGTCGCGAGACCAGCGCGCGCGTCGGCTCGGGGTCCTCCCGGTCCAGCAGCCGGATCTTGACCGAGATGCCGATCTGGTACGGGTTGCCGACCTCGCGCACCAGCGTCTCGAGGATCGCGACGAGTTTGTCCGGGGTTCTGAGCAGCGCGGCGCCCATCCCGCCGCTGGTGCTAAAGGGCTTCGGGCAGCCCGAGTTTACGTCGATGCCCGCGACGTCGCCGGCCACGAGCTTGGCAGCTGCCACGGCGATCTCGGGCGTGGCAGTGCCGATCTGAAAGATGAGTTTGCCTTTCTCGCGGACGGGATCGAGGCGGTAGATGACGGACTCCTGGGTGGCCTTCTCGGTGCGGCCGCCATTGGAGGGGGTGCGAGTGAATTCGATGGTGCCGTTGCGGGGGTTCACGCGGCGGACGGCGCCTGCCAGGGCACGATCGATGGTCTCGGGGCCCCAAACGAGGTCGGCGCCATACTTGAGGGCGAGAAGCCGGCAGGGAAGTTCACCGGAGCGCACCATCGGAGCCAGGACGACTTTGCCGCGGTAGTCGACCCCGTTGGCGGGGATGGGGACACGAGGAATCGAGGTCATTGCGGAGCGGAGGTGTCGTAGGAAGCTTAGCATAGCATTTCTTGGCGGGTTCGAGCTTTTCTATGCCTTAGTTGAGTATATCCAAGCAAGAGAGCTGAGTTCAGCTTTCATTCGCGAGCAAGACTGAAGATTATGGATTGTCAAGACGTTGAAGTTTATTCGAGTTTCTAGATCGAGATGGAGGCGGAGAACGAAAAAGTGCCAGATCACGTGGTGATATACGATAAGGTTTTTCTCGCCTTACAGCTTACTCAGCCAGCGGGAATCCAACTAACTTCGACTGCAAGTTAGTCCGTCCCGGAGGAGTACCTGCCAAGACCTGCTGACATCGCAGGGGATGAGCAATTGAGCGATTGAAGAGGCAATGGCGCACATGTGAAAGATACTATGTCAATTGAACAACGTACAAGGACTTGAATCAATGTAAATGGGCCAAAAAGTCTTAATGGTACAGATGTAAGGATATTCATAGGCTGAAAATAAGGAGGAAGCCACCCAAGGACAATAGGATTGACTCCATAAGTGGAACGAACGGTACTGGTGGAGTGGGTGCAATCCAAGGCCAGCCAGGGTATTCGTCCTCACCGAAAAGAGGAACAAGAGGCAGAAGGAAAATGGTGTCATCTGCAGGGTGTTGCCACTAGCCTAGGTGAACTCATGCATACCAGTAATACCAACCTCAAATGCAGGTGGTCAGAATAACGTACTGGGGGACTGGAGGTGCATAGAGCATAGCTCCATACTGCTGCTACTGCTGCCGTGACAGCAGCAGCTGCCGAGATAGAAGGAGGAAAGTGTCCGAGGTTGTTTTGGTTGGCGTCTTTTTTTTTTCTGCTTCCGTCCGATTTTCTTTCCCGATCCCTTCATCCTCCTTGAACCTACCTTTAGTTATAACAATTGACATCCCCTGGGTTAAAACCAAATACTGTATACCTTACAAATCGACCCTATCAATTCCTCTCTACCTCCTGTCGTACTTCAATGTTCCTGGGGGTTAGTCGTGGACCAGTGTCAGCACTCCGGTTGCCCACCGCCTGGAGTCCGATAGTCGCCCGCCGCACTGTTTCTGAGTCTTGCTGTTCGTCCGTTTGTCGCACATCCGCAACGCTGGCTCCCCCCACCAAACAAGCCCCCTCCCCCCCTCCTCCTCCCGCTACCTCCTCCTCCTCCTCTTCTTCTCTCTCCCCTTCTTCTTCTTCTTCCCCTCTTCGTCCATCGGTTTTGTCTGCTTCAAACCGTACTGCTCTTTTAGCTAGACACCTTTCTACCGTGTCCGCTACTACACAATCGCCCACCATGTCTTACACCGTCCGTAAGATCGGCCAGGCCAACACCCTGGAGCACCGTGTCTACATCGAGAAGGATGGCAAGCCCGTCTCTCCCTTCCACGACATCCCCCTTTACGCCGATGAGGCCAACAACATCTTCAACATGGTTGTTGAGATCCCCCGTTGGACCAACGCCAAGCAGGAGGTACCCAAGCCCAATACATACCCCGCCACGTCCACCCTCGACCATCACAGCTGACCCCCTGTTGCCGTCCAGATCTCCAAGGAGGAGTTCCTCAACCCCATCAAGCAGGATGTGAAGAAGGGCAAGCTCCGTTACGTCCGTAACTGCTTCCCCCACAAGGGTTACCTCTGGAACTACGGTGCCTTCCCCCAGGTATGTATTTTTCCCGCTGTTGCCCCTCATTGGCCCTCCCTCATCTCACAACTGGTGTAGACCTGGGAAGACCCCAACAACATCCACCCCGAGACCAAGGCCAAGGGTGACAACGATCCGCTCGACGTTTGCGAGATCGGTGAGCTTGTCGGCTACCCCGGTCAGGTCAAGCAGGTCAAGGTCCTCGGTGTCATGGCCCTGCTCGACGAGGAGGAGACCGACTGGAAGGTCATTGTCATCGACATCAACGACCCCCTTGCTCCTAAGCTGAACGACGTTGAGGACGTCGAGCGTCACCTCCCCGGTCTTCTCCGTGCCACCAACGAGTGGTTCCGTATCTACAAGATCCCCGACGGAAAGCCCGAGAACCAGTTCGCTTTCTCCGGCGAGTGCAAGAACCAGAAGTACGTTCCCGATCGATGGTTGATGCATGTAATTGTTGTACTAATCCATTGCAGGTACGCTCTGGAGGTCATCCGCGAGTGCCGTGATGCTTGGGAGAAGCTGATCTCCGGCCAGGCCCCCAAGGGTGATGTCAGCATGTACGTTATTCCTGAACCCATCTACAAAGAAGTTTTGACTGACCCGCTTCCAGTGCCACCAGCACCTACGAGGGTGTTGAGCGCGCCGACGCTTCCAAGCTCGCCAGCATCCCCAAGGGCGAGAACCTTCCTCCTGCCCCCATTGACGGCAGCGTTGATAAGTGGTTCTTCATCTCCGGTGCCGCTGTTTAAACCTGTACAAACCCTAAAATCGAATCCTATTCCCCCACCTACGGGTGATTTACATACTTCAAACTTCTCTTACAAAAGTTCTTAATCGTAGCAATAGCCATTAAAGATATCAGTTGGACATTGTAAATGGTTGATCTATAAAAAAGCGTAAAAAAACAGAACAATGATAATCAATAGCTGGTATATACACATGTCCGTGAATAACATGATAGATAATACAGGTCGCGAAAACAAGTCCTGATGACTTCCACTTATGCCGCAAATGACAATGCGCGCGTCCCTAGATCTCAAAGAGTCAAGGACAGACGATGCACAGAAGCCACCAGGATTGAGCCCGACATCCTCCAGAGCCGTAAGATATCCGGCGCAATAACCTTCCCTGCTTGCTCTCTTCATTCTTCGCGCCCGGTGCCCCCCCAACCAAGCCAACGCTCCAATCCAGACAGCCAGAAATAAACTCAGCCCTTCAACGTCTCCTCGCGCTCAATCACCCGCCCTACGCGGGCAATCTCCTCGATGACATCCCCGATCCGCATCTCCCGCTCCGCGATGGGGATGCTCACCTCCTTCCCGTTCTTGAACCCGACCACCAGCTCGGCCGGCTTCGTCGAGTGCCGCGGTAGCTGCGTCACCTTGATGTCGATATGCGTGCCGCTCGAGGCCGGGACGGTCGAGGGATTGCGGAGCAGCGAGAGCAGCAGGCGGCAGGGGCGGGCGCTGCGGGCCCAAGGGTTGAAGGTCGTGCGGAAGGAGGAGATGGTGGCGATTGGGATGGACATTTTGATTGTCGCTTTGTGCTTTTGTGTATTATGAAAAGGTCAGATGGTCTGCGTTTGTATATAACAGGTTAGGATTACTTGGGTAATTCTTTGTTGGGGGGGGGGGGTTTGGTGGGAAAGCGTGATGGGACTTACGGTGACACTTTTTTTTCTCGGGGGTGTGCTTGCGATTGATGATAGGGATTATGGGTTGAGTAGGTGAGAGAGATAGCGGGTGAGGTTGCGCGCGCACAGCAGCTATTGAAGAAGGAATTTAACACGCTCTAATAAATCGTTTTTTTTGCTGTATCTACACCAAGACCAGGCAGGGCCTGGATTATTCCGGCGGAGGATCGGGGTCGCTGTCTCTGTGTGTGTTTGTCTTGGATGCAAACTGTGAGTTAATAAGTCTGGATGCCTCAGGAATGAATGGATTTCTATCGGTACGGGGGTTTAGATACGGGAAGCTAGCCGATGACGCTGTTGCTGTTGCGGAACGGACACATCGACATTTTTACCCCCCTCTTCATACTTTCTTCATTCTCTCGTTACATACACATCATTTTTGTTCTATTGAGCGTGGGGCTCATCTAGGAGCTTTGTGTTATATGCGATTCGAGTGTGATTGTCTTCTTATCATCGACTAATCACAATGTCATTGACGGAACTCCAGTCCCGACTGAAGGAGCTCTCGACCGCTCTGGCCAATATCCACCCGCTGGTTTCTCGACTGCAGAGTTTCACGACCGCTATTGGACAGGGTGATGACGCGCGCTTGGAGCTGGGGACGGAGATCCATACGCTTCTGAAAGGGGCGGAGGATCAACTGGAGCTGTTGCGGGTGGAGGTGGAGGGTCTCGAGGCAGGTCCCGAGAGTCGACGAAAAGCGGTGTTGGATAACGAGAAGGAATCGGAGAGGGAGCGCGTGGTCGCGCTGGCGGGGCGCTTGACTGAGGAACTGAAGAGGTATGTGTGTTTCTTCATGGGAAGTCTAGATCTATTGAGTCTGGCGAGATCTCGGGATACAGATGGATGTTTATACCGAACGCAGGACAAGAAGAGACTTCCGGAACGCACAGCTACAGGCGAAACGCAATGCGGAGACTGCACGCCGTAAGGAGAGGGAGTTGTTGTTCTCCCGGTCTCAGAGCGCCGAGAGGAAGAACCAGCCCGCCGAGAAGCTGACGCAGGATGAGATCGTGAAGAACGCTTCGAACGATGTTACGGCGGCGCTGCGGCGGACGCATCAGTTGATGCAGTCCGAGTTGTCGCGGAGCCAGTTTGCGCAGGAGACGCTAGGTTCGTTGCTGTTGCTGTTGCTGCTGTCCTGCACGCCTCTGAAGCTAACTATTTGTCGCCAATTCTTCTCAGAGCAATCCACCGCCGCCCTCTCGTCGCTGTCGGAATCTTACACGGACCTGGACTCGCTCCTCGCCTCGTCGCGCAACCTCGTCGGTTCTCTTCTTCGGTCGCAAAAATCCGACACTTGGTACTTGGAGACCGCGTTTTACATTCTTCTTGGAACTATCGCTTGGCTTGTCTTCCGACGCATACTTTACGGTCCTCTGTGGTGGCTTGTGTGGCTGCCAGTGCGACTACTGGCACGATCTACTTTTGCGATTCTAGGTGTGGTGGGCATCACCAGTCGGGCAGTGCAGGCCTCTGACTCTGTTACTCCTGTCGCGCGGTTGGTGCAAGAGACCCCGGTTGTGGCTCCGAAGGTGGAACCGACAGTCCAGAGTGCGGAGCAAGAGGCAGTATGGGACCAGGTCCCTGTCACGGATGAAGCGGAGGAGGACCGCTTGATTGACCAAATCGGCGAACTGGTAGAGGAGATTGAAAAACAGGAGGAGACCAACATAGACGACATCTCGCCGGAGGAAAGGCAGAGGCAAGCGGAGCTGCCAAGGAATTCTAAGAAGAGGATGTTTGAAGCTACCGAGGTTCCCCACCATAGGGATGAACTATAGAAGCATATATCTATAGCGAATTCAATGTCTTGATGATGTGTCTGTCACCAAACTGTAGATGTAATAAACGTATGACCGATCAATAGGTAGACGATGACTATAAAGAGCACGGCGATTGTGTATGGACTATGGATGGACCTTTCCCCGCTTCCAAGCTGTCAATGAACTGACCGCCTTGGCATGATCTCCGTCATGGCCACTATGAACTTATCCGTACTTTGGCCCATTCTTTTCTCCTCCGCACCACCCCACGGTTTCTCGGTCAGATCCCAAGGTCCTCCAAAATGACTTCCAAGCTCGCCCAGAACCTGAAGCAGCCGGCTCTGGACTTTTTGTCCTTTGTCAATGCCTCTCCCACCCGTAAACTCCGCCCTAATCATACTGCCTTATCTGTGCCTGACCGTTCCATATAGCCTTCCATGCAGTCCAATCCGCAAAGGATCTCCTCGCGAAGGCTGGCTTCCAAGAAATCAAGGTACGGACGATCATCTCACAGAAATTGAGATGGGCTACTAATACCGCTGCAGGAGAAGGATCCTTGGGCATCCACCTGCCGTCCCGGCGGAAAATACTATGTTACTCGCAACCAATCTACCATCGTAGCCTTTGCTATCGGCAAGAAGTGGCAGGTATGTACCTAGTCAACAATCCTACCTCACTACTGGGTGAACTGACACTGATACTCAACAGCCTGGTAACCCCATTTCTATGATTGGGGCTCACACCGACTCCCCCGTGCTGCGGGTCAAGCCTGTCAGCAACAAGCGTGGGGAAGGCTATGTCCAAGTGGGTGTCGAGACCTACGGAGGAGGCATCTGGCACACGTGTGCGCTTACCCGGTTCCTACCATGTACTCGATGCTAACTGCTCAAAGGGTTCGACCGTGATCTGGGAGTTGCAGGCCGGGCTATGGTGCGCAACGGCGACGGCTCAATTGTGCAGAAGCTGATCAAGATTGACCGGCCTAGTATGAACTATCTCTGAGAATTTCAGGGTGTATGACTAACGAGCTTTATAGTTCTGCGTATCCCTACCCTGGCTATCCACCTTGACCGCCAGGAAACTTTCTCCTTCAACAAGGAGACCCAGCTCTTCCCCATCGCCGGCCTCGTGGAGGCCGAGCTCAACCGCACCGGTGCCGGTGAGACCACCAAGGCTGAGAACAACGCTGCAGAAGATGACGGAGAGTTTTCCCCTCTGAAGGCGATCACCGAGCGCCACCACCCTTACCTGGTCGAGCTCATCGCTGCCGAGGCCGGTGCCAAGCCTGCCGATATCCTCGACTTCGAGATGATTCTGTTCGATACGCAAAAGTCCAACCTGGGTGGTTTGTTGGATGAGTTCATCTTTTCTCCCCGTTTGGACAACCTGAACAGCTCTTTCTGTGCTACCGTCGGCCTGATTGACTCGGTTGCCGATGCTTCGGCCTTGGACAATGAGTCGTCCATCCGTCTTATTGCTCTGTTCGACCACGAAGAGATTGGCAGTCGTACCGCTCAGGGCGCCGACTCCAACATGCTTCCTGCCGTGATCCGTCGTCTCTCGGTGCTGCCGTCGACGGCCGGCGGTGATGCTGAGGTTTCCACTGCCTATGAGCAGACTCTGTCCACCTCATTCCTTCTTTCTGCCGATATGGCACACGGTGTTCACCCGAACTACTCCCCCAAGTACGAGAACGACCACCGGCCGCAGATCAACAAGGGGCCTGTGATCAAGATCAACGCCAATGCACGCTACGCGACCAACTCTCCCGGAATTGTTCTTCTACAGGAGGTTGCCCGCAAGGCCGCCGAGGACGGTGGTGAGGGCGTGCCTCTCCAGCTGTTCGTTGTTCGCAACGACTCCAGCTGCGGCAGTACCATTGGTCCCATGATGTCAGCTAAGCTGGGCGCTCGTACTCTGGATCTGGGCAACCCTCAGCTCAGCATGCACAGTATCCGCGAGACTGGAGGTACATATGATGTCGGCCATTCCATCCGGCTGTTCACGAGCTTCTTCAAGCACTACGCCGACCTCTCCAAGACGATTTTCGTGGATTAGAGTAGATAATAGTCCATAGTATAGCCTGTTTATAAGAGATACCTCAGTAACGTTCAGCTAGTGTTGTAGTGCGGCTCAGCGCTAAATGTTGTTGAGACACAGTATTATGAGTGACTTACTGTAGTTAGTAGCATCAGCTCCGTCGGACCGAGGAAGTCCCGCAATCGCCTGACGCAGCTGCCTGGTCCTTCTCCGCCTCCGCTTCCGCCCTCCATTCCATCTCCTCCACTCCACTTCTCCTGATTAACTACCTGATTAACCGTCAGCGTGAACCTCACTTCCCTTACCTTCATCCTTCCACCCTCAACCACCCCCACACCTTCTTAACTCTCCGATCTCATCATCCATGTCCTCATGACCCTCTATGACCACTCCAGATGTGTATCGAGATGCGGAATACCTCGCTGACGTGTCCGGCTTATCGCCCGGCCTCGTCGCCGGACCTCCGTCCAGCAGCGGCAGCACCATCGGCAGCAACGGCAGTTACGATGAGCGCATGAAAAAGATCCAATCCACCGCCAAGGTAGCCTTCATCGATCGGCTGCTCCGCGATCTCGATATCCTCATCTACTGCGAGCTGTCAGCGCTGTATTATATGGAGTGAGCAATTTGGCCCCATATCTCTCTTTGCCATCGTCATTTTGTAGATCTAACATATTATTACATCCGACCACAACCCAACACCCCTCCCTCCCCTCCGTATATTTATCCTATTAACAAGATATAATCTTTTTTCTGCGTGGCAGTTGCTCCATCATCCTCTTCGCCGTCCGCGCCATCGTGCAGCTCATCTTCTTCACCCCGAAAGCCCCGCCCTTCGACCCGACCCGGAACCAGCCCTTCGTCGGCGCCATCTTTCTGAGTAATCTGTTCTGCATGCTCTGCCATACGCTCTTCGCTGCGCCGGAAGCCGGCGAGGAGACCCGCGGGTATATCCACGGGGGCCTATTCATCGACTTCATCGGCCAGAAGGCGCCCGTCCCGCTGGCCCGGCTGCTGTCGATGGATGTGTTGGTTCTACTCCTGGATTTGGTGATGTTGGGGCTGGTGGTGGAGAGGGTTAAGACTGTGGAGGCGCAGCAGCAACAGCAACTGATCAATACGGCGACCGGGCAAGGCTCAAGAAGTAATAATATCCTGAGTGCTATCATCAACGGGATGGGGCGGCAGGATCAGGATCACGATTCCGAAGAGCGGGGCGTTCTCCGGGGTGCGGCCACAGTTCCTACTACAGATGACCAGACTCAGGTCCCAGCCAGTCGACAGCCTTCGAGGGAGGAACGAGCTGAGGATCATGACCATGACCATAACACTATGATCGACGAACGGACCGAGTTGCTGGCCGACCCGGCCGAGACGGGCCTGAACCTGGGACGCAGCACGGCCGCGGCGAAGGATAGTCACCCCTTGGATCGGTTCGCCTCGGGCCAGGCAGTGATCATGGACGTGGGGCTGGTGGATGTAGTCCGCGAGCAGTGGCGGTACACTCCGGCGACGACGGGGCGGAATTCGTTGCGGTTCGCGAACTCGCAGCAGGCGGCAGCGTTCATGGCCAGGTTCCGCGATGCAATGAATGGGCGGTCGACGGAGCGGAATGCGCAGACTCCTGCCACTGCCACTGCTACTGCTAACAACCCCAATCCCGCTCCCGATGCCAATGGCATTGTCAGTGCTTAGAAGAGAGGGGTCATGGCTGGCTGCTTTTCATGGTTGATTTGGCTGATGTAGATGCGGGGGGTCTCCTGTATTGTATAGAATAGGTTATAATATACTAACTCTATTTGATAATATACTAACTCTATTTGTTAAATGATGTGGCTTATCATGAGTAAAGTTATTGTCTAACGTCTGACACAATCAAGCAGGATAAGCTGAGTGGAGTGAGTTTCTATCCCCAAGCTCTTCATCATCATCAGTATATGATCGTCAACATCACATAAAAGGTACAACCACGAAAAACACAAAGTTATAAAAGACATGACCCAGGGTATGTATAAACATCAACCTCATCCCCCCTCCCCGTTCTCCTTTCACTCAGAAGGAAGAAAACCAGCTGTAACCAACCCAACAACCCAACCCAGCCCTAACCCGGCCTGATTACCTAGTACCTACTCCTCCCCACCATTCCCATTCCCATTCCCATTCCCATCCCCCTTCGCCTCTCCTCCACCACCATTTTCCTTGGGCCCACCACCGGGCCTCCGATCCAGAATCTCATCCACAATCCCCATCTCCAACGCCTCCTTCGCCCCCATGAAGTAATCCCGCTCCATCAACTTCTCAATCTCATCCAGCGACAGCACTTTCTTGCCCGTGAGATGCCGCTGGTAGATCTTGTTGAGCTGGCTGCGCACGCGCAGGATCTCCTTGGCGTGGATCGCGATGTCGCTGGCCTGCCCGAAGTACCCCCCGGACGGTTGGTGGATCATGATTGACGAGTGCGGTAGGCAGTACCGTTTGCCCGGGTGGCCGCCGCACAGGAGCAGCGAGCCCATGGACGCCGCTTGGCCGACGCAGATCGTGGAGACGGGGCTGGCGATGTAGGTCATTGTGTCGTAGATTGCTAGGCCTGTTTGATCGGATGATTAGTATTAGGTGGTAGGTGTGGTGGGTAGTGGGGTGAGGAGTGGGCATTGGGGAGGTCAGGCATTGGGGTAGCAGGTGGAAGGGTTGGGATTAGGGTAGGTAGACATACCGGCCGTGACCGACCCCCCGGGGGAGTTGATGTATAGGTGAATGGGCTTTTGCGGGTTATCGGCTTCCAGAAACAGAAGTTGGGCGACGATGGAGGCGGACATGGTTTCGTCGACTTCGCCATTGAGGCAGATGATGCGCTCTTTTAGGAGGCGCGAGAAGATGTCGTCTGCGTTGGGCGGGAATTAGTTATGGTTGGTTTGTGGTGGTGGTGAGGGTTATGGAGTTGAGGGTGTGGGTTTGAATTTGAGTGAGCTGATGGATGGATTAAGTATAACGTACATGTGTGCCAGCCTCCGCCCTGATTGTTTGTTAGTGAGCTGTTTTTTTTTGGTTGACAGATCGATGGGGATCTCAAACTTACCACCGTCTCCGTGACAAATGGCGTGGGCGTCCATCCTCGCGCAGGTCGGGCCGTCGATGAAGCTGATAGTGATGATAGCGACGGGATGGAGCTGGTGAAGCTCCGCGACAGGGCCGGGATGGCCGACGGGCGGCTCAATATGCGACTCGCTCGCTGCAGGGGACGAGATGGATTCATTGTGAGTCTATCGCTTGCGAATTCCGAGCGGGTAGGGAGGTAATGGCAAGGAGGAGGCGATGGTCGGAGGGGTGATGGTCGGAGGAGTGGTGTAAGACTGTCGCAGCAGCAGCAGCAGGACTCCGCCTTTGCGCGCCGGGCGTCGGCCAACGTCCAAACCTCCGCGGGTTTTTCTACTCCTCTTGCTTTCTCCACCGACAACCGCTCCGTTCCAGCTGCTCGCCGCGCCATCCACCATCTCCACCAAAGGAGACAATGGAGTGTCTCTACGGTCGAATATCCTATGCGTCATGGCGCTTAAGGCAATTTCGTCAATTATTCAACAATAGCACCACCACCATTCATGGCCCAATTCCCTCTCAGCGCAACAACCACCGCATACGCACTTTATCCACCTCGACCGACGAGCCTGAACCCCAACCTCCGCAATCAAAATCAGCAGATACCGCTCCTAAAGAAACACCTGCCAAACCGCCCCGTAAACCTCGAGCCAAAAAGTCCCCCCCGCCGTCCTCCCTCCTCCCCAAATCACCGTTACTCACCGACCCAAAACCCGGCTACGAGCGCCTGCACAAGAAGAAAGCCCGCGGCAAACCATCGAACCCCAAAGATGATATCTCCACGAACCCCTGGGCCGTGGCGCTGGCCACTCCGATCCGCCAATGCTCGCTGACGGGGCTCCGCATGCCGACCGAGTTCATGACCGGCTGGGGTCTCGAGGAACACCCCGAGGGCAAGAGTCTATTCATCCATCCATCCGAGATCTTACCACCGGTGACTGTGCCCGAACCCGATCCATCGCCGTCGTCGTCATCATCTTCAACTTCTACCTCACCGGATCAACCGAAGAAGACGCAGCAGACCTCCCAAGCGATCCGTCACCTGCGGTTCCGGATGGTCAACCGACTCACGCTCCTGAACACGGTCACGGAGACTTCGCGAAAGTCCAAGAGGAGAATCCCGGCCATCGCCCTCACGTTCCCGATTCGCTGGCGGCCGCCGCTGGGGCCGATGACGGAATCGATGATGGCGTCGTGCGTCTGGCGCCAGGACATGCCGCAGTTCGTGACGCGGATGATGCGGCGCGAGGTGGGCCAGCGGCTGCGGAAGGCCGCGACACAGTCGAACGACTCGCCGAAGCGGCAGGTCTGGACCTCGGTGCTGCCGCTGGAGGAGGGGGAAGGGGCCGAGCTCGTCGCCGAGGAGGCGCTGGTCGATGCGCTGGCGAAGATGGAGCCCATCGCGCGGATGGAGACTGGTGCGGTGCTGGTGCTGCGGCGCACCGACTCGCCTCAGCTGCCCCTGTCGAGCTTCTTTCATCTGCCACAGACGAGTTCCAAGGTGCCCGTGTTCGATATGACGCGGCTACTGGCGGAGGAGGATCTTCTCGCGTGTGGTAAATTCCAGGGCCAGGCGGCGGTGTTCTTTAGACCGGACGACAAGCCCACGGTCAATGCGATGCTGGGCTTGTGGAAGCTGGCGGGGTTGTTGAGAGATGATCCGCATCTTGATACGCACCGGGACCTTGAGCCCGAATCCTGATAAATCATGCTTACATCCGCCGCAACACTACGCACACTGCAACACCATATGTATGTAGCGGAGATTCACGAAGGCTGGTGGGGGAACATCCCCTGTATTCTATGCAACCTAAACCTGTACACAAGACGGGAAGAGAGGAGCCAAACCCTATCACAACCCCCCCTCCCGGTTGTCCACAATAGTAACTACCCCGGGTTCAATAGGTTCCATCCCCCCAAAGCCTTAGACTCTCTCAATTCCAAATATCCCCATTCCCATCCCACCCAAGAAGAAACCTTGGAATTGAATCACTCACACCCGAGCAAATCCGCCAACCGATCCAAATAAGCCGCCGGCCTGACCTCCCCCCGCAAAAAATCCTCCTTACTACTCACCCCCGTCAAAACCCCCAACGTCCCCCCCAACTTCCCCTCAACCCCAAACCGAATATCCGTATTCGCGCGATCCCCCACCATACACGCCCTCTTCCGGTCAAACTGGAACTTCCCCTCGATCGCATCCATCATCGCCTGATTCGGCTTCCCCAACGACACGGGCTCCTGGCCCCCCAACATCATAATCAACGGCGCACTCATCGACCCCGCGCCGGGGAACAACGTCCCCGCATTCGGCAGCGTCGAATCGATATTCGTAGCCAGGAATACGGCCCCGCGCCGGATGTAGTGGAACGCCAGCGCCAGCTTGAGGTAGTTCACATGGAAGTCGAGGCCGACCAGCACCACCCCAACCTCCGGGTCGAGGAGGCTGGGGTCGCCGGCGGCGACTTTCTTGTAATCCTCCGGCGTGATCTCGCGGCGGTAGGTCGGGTCGGTGCCGCCGAGGAAGGGGACGTTCTCGGCGCGGAGTTCTTGCTCGATGCCGGTTTCGCCGATGACAAAGACTTTGCGTTTGTTGGGCGGGAGGGAGAGGATGCGTGAGATGTAGATTGAGGCGCTGTAGGAGGAGGAGAAGATTTCTTCCTGTTTCGTGAGGGGGGTGGTGGGTTAGTGGTGGGGTTTGGGATGTAGAGGGTTTGGGGGTGGAGGAGAATATGGCTGTCTGGGGATGAGGTGGGAAAACGTACCGTTGTGCTGGGAATGCCCAGTCCCTCGAGCTTCTTCACGTAGTCGGCGCGCGACTTGGTGCTGTTGTTCGTCACGAAGACCACTTGTTTGCCTGGCACACGGGAAGGGGATTAGCTTGTGCCTGCGAGCAGCGCATCCCCTCTGAAAATATCATACCTTTGCTTCTCAACAGTTCTAATGTCTCGTTCGTGCCGGGAAAAAGGTGATCCCCGGACCAGAGAACCCCTAAATTGCAGATCGAGGGTCAGTCGGGCCTTTGCTGTAGGTGCTGTTGGTGTAGAACCGCGGAAGCTCTTATGTTATATCGGACTCGTGGCGAGGACGTACCATCGCAGTCAAACAAAAACACCTGGATGATAAATTAGCCTCTGTAAAGTCCAACACAACCTGTCCCACTGAGGACACTCACATCAAACTTGTCTATGAACTCACGGATGCCAGCCGCGTCGCCGGTCAAATAGCGGGGGGTGTGTGTGGATGCGGGGTACTCGGAGGAAGCCATGAGGGTGGACGGCGGTCTATATGCAGTGCTCTAAGGGTCTATTGCAATGTCGCGATATGCTGCTGCCTCAAATGTATGTACCGGAGCAAGGAGGAAACGAAAATCTAAAGATTATTTGTGTCATAAGAAGTCGTGATGCGGCACACTCTATTCCGGCTCTCGTCCGGCTCGTCGGTGAGCCACGAAGCGGGCCGCACGTGAGGAACCGGCGATGGAGGAAGGATGCATGCACGCATGCCCTCCGTGTATGACGTTCCTACACCTACATGGGTCCCCATTGAAATTGAGTTAGAGAGAAGTATGTTTTGACTTGTTCATTATATTTCATACAGTCGTCAGTCTTGGCTTCGCTCCAAGTTGCAGATTTGGACTTTGGGCGCGCGTCCGAATGTTTTCCATGACTACCGGCTCCACTGTATACTTCCGTGCTACAGGACGCGATGCATGAAAGAAGATGACAGAGTCTGGTGGCTTTGGTGAGGAAGCATTCTGTAAACTTCTGTATCTTTCGGATGATGATGAGTCGCGTCAATTGGCCTCCTGACACCTCTATCGGCGAGGCCTGCCAATCGAATGACGTCGCTCAGAGCTTAGAGAACAATACTAGGTAGTGGTATTGCCGTCTTCGACGACTACGCGCCGCCTAAGATGCCGGAAAGTTTGAGTGCGACGTCAAGGATAGTCAGGTGCTCGTCAGCCCCGTCAACCAGACGACGGTCCATCTCCGAGAAGACCGTCACGATCTTATTCTTCTGAATATCGGGAATAGCATCGTTGTAGATCATGCGCCGATACAGCTGCATCAGATTAGTATTGAGACTCCACAAGCGACGTTCAGAAGTAGAATATAGAATTACCTGTAGAAGGAGCTGACTGGCACTCCATCCATCTGCAATAATATCCGTAACCACCTTGGAAACAGCATCATAAGATGACCCGACCTTCATCGGCTGCAGAGCCCGGGTCAAATCATCCAAAACACTTTCAGGGACGACACCAGCGATCTCCTCGATGGTCCTGACAGTAATCAATTCCGAGCTTCCATCTGCCATCTCCGTATCTTCATCATCGTCCTTCTTCTCGACCCTACCGGCCCCGACCAGCTTGGCCGCACTTTGCAAATAGGTGATCGCACGTCGCAAATCACCTTCACTACAGCTGATCAGCTTGTCAACCACACCCTCTTCTAATCTCAAGGTTTCCAGCTTGGCGATCTGGACCAGCCGATCTCCCGCCGCCGTATTGTCCAAAGCCTTGAATCTGAACTTGCTGCATCGACTCGCCAGTGGCTCGATGATACGAGTCACATAGTTGCAGACCAAGCAGAAACGGGTGATTCGACTGTACTGCTCCATGGTGCGACGAAGAGCGGACTGCGCGTCCTGGGTCATACTGTCTGCCTCATCAAGAATGATGATCTTGAATGGAGGACACGGGTATTTGGCAAGGTATTCCGCACCCATGCCTGTTGAGTGACTGAGCTGGGCACGAGCAAAGTTCTTGATTTTGTCGCGCACGATACCAATACCACGTTCATCGGAAGCGTTCAATTCGAGGATGCGGGAGCGGTAGAGAGTAGGACCAAAGAGCGACTTTGCGAGAGCAAGAATTGTGGAAGTCTTTCCGGTACCGGGAGGGCCGTAGAAAAGCATATGAGGGAGCTAGAGATCGCCCGTCAGTTTTCCTGGCTCTTAGGCGACGATGCAGATTTCGGAAGTCGTCGTACATTAGAAGCTTGCAATGTGCGTCGGAGAACCTTGGTGGTGTGATCTTGTGCGGCGACATCATCAAGAGTCTTGGGGCGACTATTTCGTGGTCAATGTGACAAGCATTTGAGGGCACATTGGGTGGAGAAGCGCCTACTATTTCTCAACCCATGGTTGTTGTCGGCCTTGTTCTTCCTTTCCATCCGTTGGCTTTTGCTTGGAGGTACCCGAAGCTGCTGCTGCAGCCCGGGCTTTGTTGCTGAAGAAATTGGCAGCCATCTTCAATCGGTGACGGTTGAGGTGAATTCTACTCGACTTGTGGGTGCTGACGCTACTCTGGGATGCCCGGGGAACAAGGCGGCGAGAGCCCTGAAAGCGTGTCGGAACGCGTCTCCACGTGATACGCGCTGACCGCCCGCCCACTTTATCATTTGTTATCGGCGGATGGGGAGCAGACCAACTTGGGGACTATGATGAAGCTCTTAGTATGGGGCACGGTAGCTTTGCAGGACTGCACAGCACATACTCAGTTGTCTTGAAAGCCGCAGCAACAAAATAGAGCCCTATGCCTAACGCGGTGATGGTCGCTAGTGCCCCTGATATTATCGCTACTTTGATTAATGCCTCGTTGGCACTCATCGCTGTCGGATCTTGACTTCAACAAGGTGATGTTGAGGCATCGTATCAATGCGCCCGTATGCTGGAGAGAAATCCTTATCCACGGGAGTGCGCTTTAATTCGGGAAGGGAAGGAACAGGCTGGCGGCAGAATGCATCTGTGGAAGCAGCTGGTCGGTCCTCGTTGAGCATCGCATCAATTGCATGCGCAAAGCTTGAATGCTGATCTAGCGTACATGAATTACCCGCGAAGCAGCTCTATGACCGATCAGAATTGGCAGACGCAAGGCTCATGAGAGCTTCAGATGAAGATTTCCATAGTGGGACAAATTAAATAATACAACAAACTTCCATTGCAGTTTTAAACTGTAAACTCGATAGTATGCGATGAGAAGACAAGCGAAGAAGTGTTATGGGCAGCCATGGCAGCATGCCAAATCAATGTGGTTCGCCTAATTTGGACTGGATCGTTATCCTTTATACTCTTTAAAATATTTAGCATCAGGTCGCTTCTAGTGTCTGGTCGAAAAAAAAAGTCAAAGAATAAGAAGCCATTGAAACATTCGAGACAAAGATCATATCTATTGACTGATCTGAGACACGAGAAGTTAGGTGACTCGAAGGGAGTCCCGAGCATTCGCTGACTCGCTGGGATCTGCCCTGATCTACCGGATGAAGTGGGTTGGCTCGGATTCTTGGTCCAGGCACTACCTTAGTAGTAGACTATCTACTAGTTATCTTAGATCGACTGCATCATCGAAACGGGGAATTGAACGCCACTAAAGCGGCGATGTGACACGGAAGAGCAAGTCCAGTTAGAGACTAATGCTGCGACTGGGATCAACTGCAGGTTGAAATAATCGGGATTCTGTGGTCGAAAAGTCTCCTGTTGGAGGAAGGGACTGGCCCAAGCTTTCCCCCATGGCGCGTTCTTTCGCAGGGCGCGTGGAATGAGAGGCGGTCGCGCTGCTGGTGCTCGTGGCCCTGGCACGCTCGATAACAGTCGCCCTGATCCAATCACCAGGTCGGCGCTTCGCGTCAATGAACAACCAAAGACGATGACGTCGAAGCAGGTCGTCTTCTCTTCCAACAAGGAAGCGATAAATCTATCGATTTTGATTCATTGACTTGTTGACTGACTGACTGGGAGTAGGATGTTGCTCTCCATGCTTACAACTTGTACGATAATCCTGGTATGGTGGGGGAGAGGAAGGATAACGGAAGTCGATAGTAGTCGGTGGTAACCAACCTGCAGGCGATAAACAATAATAATTAAATCATCATCTGCAGCCGCGCGACCAACAACACATGACGGAGACGGGGCTTCCCCATCTTTCCCTCCCACTCCTACCCAAGAGGACATTGTATATATGAATGACCATTATTTTCATCAGGGTAGTCACTCACATGAATTACCAGTTCTCTAGTGACTTTTTTCTTTCTTTTTTTTCTTTTGTTTTCTCCAAGGAAAGGGCCATCGTCATCTAATCAATTCAGCTGCAGTGTCAGGCCAACCTCCCTGTGTTGTTCCAGAACTGGTTTAGCGCACCCGACGCGTGACTGAGTGCGGTGGGTGCAGTGGACACTGGAAAGTTCCCCTTCGAACGGTCGAGCGACAGACACCCAGACTGCGAGAGGGAGAGGAGAGAGGGAGGGAAGCCCATCGCCGCCGCCGCCGCTGCCAACCAGCCAGCCAGCCAGCCAGCCAACCCTTCCTTGGATTGATCTTGTCTCAACCCTTCTCCCTCTTCTTTCTCACCAACCCAAAGTGGTCGGGTCAATCTCAAATGACCTCCACAATTTGTGCCATTCTATCAATTCAGTCTTGGGTCTGGTGAGAGACTCTGTCTGTTTCATTCCCTTGCCGCCGTTATCCTCACTGCCCGCCTACTTCTCAAGTTTATTTGGTTTCATTGAACCCGTAGCGGAGCACCAAGGCTCGCCTGTTGTCGTCAACACTCCCAACTCTCACCCTCACCCCCCCCACGAACCTTTGAAGCGCCGATTGATCGACCAAATAAACAATCAATAAAATAACAGACCTACGAGAATCGCTGCTCCTCTGACTTTACTTCGCATCTCGCTGCGTTTGCGACTCATCGACCGTGGGGATCTGTCGCATTGACCCTACTTGACTTGATCCCGCTTTCGACCGCCATTTGTACTGTACTTCGTGAGGATTGGTCACCCCTCCCTCGAAACCATGGGCGACCCCCGGAAGTTGGATCCTCCTGCTACCCGCAGCGCAGCAAGAAGTGGGAAGTCGCCGGAACGTGCTGCCAATGCATTGTCTATCGCATCCCCTCCTGGCTCAAGAACACCCCCTAGTATGCCAGCAAAGAAGACCCTCTTCTACCCCGAATCGCAAGGGAGACAACAAAAGAGCCGAAACACCTCAGAAGCGATCGATCCCGATGCGCTCGCGAAGGCTTTAAGGGACTACGAGGACGCTGGAAACCCTCGCGAGAGAACACCCGGCACAAGCCCCAGTCGGAAGAGGCAACGAGTATACGGCGACAGGTCAGTAGCACTACACTTCTGGCACCTTCCTACATCAGCTCGGTCATTTCGATCATATTGTGAAGCAATCCCTTGAGCTCCTTGCTAACGTGCCTACGCCGCCTTATAGATTCATACCCAACCGTGAGGGGCAAGACCTGCAAGCAACCTACAGCCTCCTTCATGAAGACGGCTGTCCCTCGACTCCCTCCAAATCTAAGAAACGCGCTCCTCATTCGGAGCTTCATTTCCAAAAGAGTGAGTCTGCACACAAGTGTGGCGCTGATCCCCTTGGCTAATGACCACTCAGCCGAAGAAGCAAACAGAATGTACTCACGGGTCTTGCGGAGTGAGCTTTTCGGAAACACCGTTCCTCAGGCGGACCTAGACTCATTATCGCCGGATCCGCTGCTGGGGTTTGCGAACGGAATCAACGACAAGACTCGCTCTCATACACCTCCGTCACATGTCGTATCGAACCTCCCCCCAGCCAGTATAACGCCGTCCACTCCCCATAAAAATCTTTTCAACTACGCCTCCTCACGCGCTGGATCTGGTCATCCGACGCCATCTAAGACCCCTCGAAGCCAACATGGTCCGAACCTGAACGTTCGGTCAGAGCTCTACAGCCTTTCCCCGATCCGATATGACAGCCAACGGATATTGGAAAAACCCCGCAAACAGCCTCGCTACGTTAATAAAGTGCCGTATAAAGTACTTGACGCACCCGATTTACAAGATGACTTTTATCTAAATCTGGTAGATTGGGGAAGCAGTAATGTTCTTGGTGTTGGTCTAGGTAATTCGGTCTATATGTGGAATTCGCAGACTGGAAGGGTTACGAAACTGTGTGAACTGAAAGATGATACTGTTACGAGTGTGAGCTGGATTCAACGGGTAAGTGACAGATGTCCTACAAGGGAAATCTTCGATACTGACTCGAATTTTTGTTTAATTTAGGGTACTCACCTTTCAATTGGTACGGGCAAAGGACTTGTACAAATCTGGGATGCAGAGCGATGTCGTCGTCTAAGAACGATGATCGGACACACTAATCGAGTCGGAGCCCTAGCGTGGAACGACCACATTCTGACCTCAGGGTCACGAGATCGCCTGATTTTCCACCGAGATGTTCGTTCACCAGATCAATTCTTGCGCCGTTTGTCCGGTCACAAGCAAGAGGTGTGTGGTCTCAGGTGGAACACGGAGGATGGCCAATTAGCTTCTGGCGGTAACGACAACAAATTGTTGGTATGGGACAAATTGAACGAAACTCCTCTCTATCGCTTCTCCGACCACACGGCCGCGGTCAAAGCAATTGCTTGGTCGCCTCATCAACACCATCTCCTAGCCTCGGGTGGTGGAACGGCGGACCGAACCATCAAGTTCTGGAACACGTCAACAGGATCCTTAATCAAAGAGGTTGACACAGGAAGCCAGGTTTGTAACTTGGCGTGGTCGAAAAACTCGGATGAGATTATCAGCACCCACGGATATAGTCAAAACCAGATCGTGATCTGGAAATACCCCCGCATGGAGCAAATCGTATCTTTGACTGGACATACTTTCCGTGTACTGTACCTGGCTATGAGTCCGGATGGCCAAACAGTCGTCACTGGTGCTGGCGACGAGACTTTACGTTTCTGGAAAATCTTCAACAAAAGAACAGGAAGAGAGCACGGTCGTGAAGGCAGTAAGCTGGCTGAATGGGGTACTATTCGGTGACAGTCTCGGCTATCATTCGCCCTTGAACCTTTGTGCTATGTCACGCTTGACCATTTATTAGCAGTTTCCGATATGCATTAGATTCGGCGTTCCAGGGCATTGGCGTTTATTCGATGCTGGGCATGTCCTTGGACGGTCTGGAGAATGGTCGTTTTCTCACGGTTTTCCTATTGGCATTTCTCGCATCTTGTGGATTTTCACGGCATTTACATGGGCGATCGCAAGTTTTCCTCTTCTGCATGCACATCGCGCGCTTGACTGGACCTCATCTGATTCTCACCACATGTACTTTGGCCCATGTCTTTTTTCTTTTCCTTTCTACTACCACGGCTTCCCCTTTATTCTTTATTCCCTTGATTTTCCTTTCTCGCGGCCCTCCTTGGGCCTTGGAGTTCCAGCAAGCGCAGTTCCAGTTTGACCCAAAGATATGAATTCTCTCAGCAGCGGCGCTCATGGTGTTTCTCAGGTGAAACCAAGACCGAGGCGTTGCCCTTCCCCCCTACTTTCTCAACCTTGGGATTGCTGTCTCATCTCCATCCTAATGTCATGATATACTTTGAACCTCTCTGTTCCCTCTCACTACTTTTATCCCATTATCTGCAACCGATGAAGAGATGGCGATTAAGCCGCAAGACCAGCAAAACATTTGTTTATACCACGCATGATGAGCTAGGAATAGCAGCTATCTCACGGGGAAGATGTTACGTAAGACAATACAACCGCCATGAGCTTTTTCTTAGATGTGATTTCCGGGCGACTCAGCGCATAAGTTCAGTCAGGATTGGCATCTTGAAGGGATATTTTTGATTTCTATATTTGGTAATTCCAGCTCACTACCAGCACATCAAAATGCACTTTGGTCTTATCCCATTACCTGTGAGAGTTGTAAATGTTGTATGTGTGTAAGGGTGGGTGTGTATGCTATACTTGGCGAGCATTAGCTGTGGGAAAGTAGACGAAGAAAGAAGAAGGCCTCCCCGATAGGACTATCAGTACTTACAAAATGGGGTAGGAAAGTTAATAAAACGTCATTCCAAAACAAGACATGCACGGGGAGAGACAAAGAAATAGCGCAATGTGAAAAGAAGAAAAAATCTATAGAACAAGCCGGCCCGGCTCAACCGTCAACAGCGACTTGACGCGGTCCAAGAAGACCTGAGCTCTCTTCTCATCGCCCACGGGGACCGTCAAGCTGAAGACGTTGGCCGCGCCCGCGGCCGGCGCTGCGCCGGTGACCGAGGAAACCGAGGAAACCACCTTCTTGGCGGCGGCCTTGCCACTGCCGGCCAGAATGTCGATGATATCCTCCGTGACGGACTTGGTTTTGGGGGTGACGACGGCGTCGGCTGCTGCCGCCTCCTCGGCGTTGAACTCGGGGAAGTACTCGCCGCGGGAGGTGCGGGCGGGGGCGGCGCCCAGGACGAGCTCGTCGAAGAGCTCGTTGGCCGTGGGCTGCTCGCGCACGGAGCGGGGAAGGTCCTCGTTGGCGAGGTCGGTGGCGCGCTCCAGGAAGGTTGACAACGGCACGGTGATGTGCAGCTTGTCCTGCAGGCGCTTCTGGGCGTGCAGCACGGCGGCCAGGGAGATGGGGACGGCGACGCGGGTGGTGGGAGGTGGACGGAAGACGGGGGCTTTCTCAACGACGGGAGTGGGTTCAGCTTCGGCGGGCTTGGGAGCTTCAGCCGCGACAATCTTGATGTTGCTCAGGTCCAGCTGGCCCAGCTTGGCGAAGCGCGCCGCTTGGGTCGCCGGGTACTCGGCGGGGATCTTGCCCAGGTAGGCGAGGACGTCGCCCTTCAGGAGTCGGCCCTTGGGGCCCGTGGCGGGGATCTTGGAGATCTCCGATTCCGGGATCCCCTTCTCGTGGAGCAGGCTGCTGACCGATGGGTAGAGCGGGTAGGCGGGGTTCTGGTACTGCACGGCGGCGGTGGAGTTTAGGCCTGTAGTGTGGATGGATGGGTTTGTTAGCGACGTGCATGTGTGTGTGTGTGTGTATGGGCAGCGGAGGGAGGCGAAGGCTGGTGGAGGTTGTGCTTGTGCTTGGATACGAGGTCTGAAATGAAGGCTGGTTGTGCCTGGTGGAAAAGAGGGCGATACTGATATTCTTTCTCTCCCCCCTTCGGAGTCGGCGGAAAACTCACGCTTCGAAGTGCTGATAACCCGGGGTTGGTGACGGGCAAGAGCGGCCGGAAGTCGGCGCAAAGGGAAGCTGGAGGCCATCTCTGTTGTTGCTGTTGTGGTAGGTCTGGAATCGAATCAATTCTCAAGTGGTGGAGATAAGAAAGTGGTGCTTCGAGAGAGTCGCGAGGCACTGCAGCTGGGAAACCCGGGAAACCAAGGATCGGACTTAGGAACCCACCACCACGATGATGATAGAGTTCAAGGAGCTCGGCGAGGTCGTCAAGATGGTCGCGATCTGTAATTAGAAGCTGCAAGGCATTCGGGCCGGGGGCAATGGCGCTGCGACAAGGAGAAGTGAATGTCCGGGGATGTTGAGGTTGTTGGGAGTCTCACCGATGGCCCGGACGGGAACATTTTTCTGCCGCGGATAACAACGGGCTTAAACGGAGTTGCGCATTCACCAGCTCAATCGCTGACTTGCTGTGGCTGGTCGAAGGTAAGCTCAATCGCATTTCTCTCGACTCTCCGGAGTTAGATCTGCATGCTAATTGTTATTTCGCTCTCGATTCCAGGCTCCCAACGCGACACTATACCCATCATGTTTGCTACACGACCTTCTGCATTCCGGGCATTCGCCCAGCAATGTCCTCGGAGTACCTTCTCTTCGAATTTCCAGACCTCAAGTCCAGTATGGCGATTTTTCTCGTACAGTGCTCCGCGAGCAAAGGCCGCCGTTAAGGCTAAGAAGCCCGTCGCACCACAGCCTAAGGTCCAGGAGCCGGCCGAAGATACATTGAGATTCGCGGGCAGACGGCCTGCGGGCTCAGGCCGATTAGCTGCTAAAGTCGCAAAAGAACCTAAGGGAGAATTGATGCTGTTCCAAGCGCCCTCGCACCGCAGCTACGTACTAGGCGCCTACGGTATCACGGCTTTTTGCTTCGCGTACTCGGTGTATAACAGCAATATCACCTTCCGCGACCCGATCGCACCTCTCCCCATGTGGCAGAAGGTAACATTTGGAAGTATTTGTGTCATGATGAGTGTGATGGGCACCGTCTTCATGGCCAAAACGAACAAGTTGATCAGGACCGTCAAAGCTGTCAACAAGAATGGGGAGGCCTACATTCGGTTCACGGTTCGCAGCTTCATCCCATTTCGCAAACCGTATGAATTCGACGCTCTGCCTCGCCAGGTTGCCTTCGCCCGTCGTTTGGTGATTTCCCCTGATGCTGCTAGTAAGAGAAGCACGATCCAGCAGAGCGCCCAAGTGAGCTTCTTCAGACAACCGTTGAAGAAGATGAGTATGATGTTCTACAAGACATTTCGGGCGATTCGTCAGCTGTTCACCGGCGAGGATTTTATCCTCATAGAAGTGGATGGTCAAAAGGGTGAATTCCGCATGGATGCGGCTGGGTACGTCTCGCAGGACTTCTTGTCCGTCGGCAACCCGGTGACTGTGAGACGCTAGAAGTGAGTTCTCGACCTGTACGATATTTTCCTCTTGATGTCTCAAATACTTAACCGTTGTTCCTTACTTTGTCACTGCTATACGCTGGGCTCATGTTTTGGGGCTGCGCATTTCTTACTTAACCCCACCGCTGCCTCCTACTACCATGTACATATTGTAGAAACTAGCATTCAAAACTAGCATTAAGCAAAATCTTCCTCCAAAAAAGAGATAAGCGTGGTAAGTAGAGGATAGGCGTAGTAACTAGTCGATAAAAGCGACTTGGGTGGAAGTAAATATGGCAACCACGTGACCCTCTCCGCAGCGCGTCTTCCCCCCCCCCCCAATCAATCAACCGTCCGTGACGCGACTTCGAGATAACCAAAGTAGTGAATGCTGCGCGAGCCCCTCCACACTTGCTCCGTGCAGCCCGGGCTAATCCAGCCTTCTCCCCATCCCGTGGTGGGCGCAGCTCCTCCATTCCTTCTGCATCCGATATCTGCATTTCTGAATCCGTCTTCTCGCGCGGTCGCAGCAACGCGCGACCCCTCTGTCGCAAAATGGGGAAGCTCATCCGACTCGAGCTTTTTAGTATGCAGAACCTCATCTGATTGACACCCCATACCACCCACTGACCTCCACATCAGACTTCAAATCTTACAAGGGTCACCACACCCTCCTCTTCGGCGATGCGTACTTCACATCCATCATCGGGCCCAACGGGTCCGGCAAATCGAACTCGTGCGTTTTCCCACCCACCTCGGAATGAACACCTCCGCGGAACACGCATCGCGAAGGGAAGTTTATGCTGACAATCAAACTCAGGATGGATGCGATTTCGTTCGTTCTCGGTATCAAATCATCCCATCTGCGATCTACGAACCTCCGCGACCTAGTCTACCGCGGTCGTGTCCTGCGGACATCCAAGGTGGATGCGAACGGCAATGCCATCGACGGAGCTGCGGACGGGGAGGAACAGCCCGAAGACGAGATCGACGGCGAACAGTCCCAGGACCCAACCGGATCGAATGACCCCCGGACCGCATGGGTCATGGCGGTGTACGAGGACGATGCGGGCGAGGAACAGCAATGGCGGCGATCGATCACCAGCGGGGGTGTCAGCGAGTACCGCATCAATAACCGCGCGGTCACCGCGCAGCAGTACAACGAGGCGCTCGAGGCTGAGAACATCCTGATCAAAGCGCGCAACTTCCTCGTCTTCCAGGGTGACGTCGAGGCGATCGCATCGCAGTCCCCCAAGGACCTGACGCGGTTGATCGAGCAGATCTCGGGCAGCTTGGAGTACAAGGCTGAGTATGAACGTTTGAAAGCCGAGGCTGAGGAGGCTGCGGAATCACAGACCGTGCAGCTGAACCGCCGCCGCGGGATCAACTCGGAGATCAAACAGTACCAGGAACAGAAGCGGGAAGCAGAGAACTACGCCAGAAAGGCCGAGGAACGCGATCAAGCGATCATCACGCATATTCTGTGGAAGCTCTTCCATTTCCAGCGCCTGATCGACGCATCCAGTGCGGATATCTTGAAGTACCAGGATGAGCTGAAGGAGTTCCGCCGCGGTGTTGAGAAGTACGAGAAGAACGTCGAGGACGCGAAGAAGAGCCACGCCATGGTCGGTCGGGATGTCGCCAAGGCGGAGAGGAACATTGTCAAGAAAGAGAAGGACATTGAAGGGGCGGCCAACGCCCTCGTCCCCGTTGATGAGAAGGTCGATATCACCAGGAAGAAGGTCGAACGCTTTGCTTCTCGTATCGCAGAAATTACGCGCGAAAAAGACACTCAATCGGCGAATGTGAAACAGCTGGAGAAGGATCTCAAGGTTGTCGAGAAGGCGCGGGCACAGTGGGAGGCAGAATGGCAGAAGACGATGAGCAAGCAGGGCGGCCAGCTGAGTGAGGCTGACTTGCACGAGTACGAAAAGCTCAAGGAAGAGGTCAGTAAGAGATCGTCTGCTGAGCAACTGAACCTCGACAACCTGCGCCGTCAGCGGAAGACCGAAGCCGAAGCCCTGAACAGCCTCAAGAGCAAATTCGAAGGAGCCGATTGGCAATTCAAGACCTTGGAATCTGAGACGCAGACCTTGGCCCAACGCAAAACTGCCCTCAACGATACAGTCAAGACAACTTCCAAGGAGATTGACCGCAAGAAGAAGGAACTCAATGCTGTGACTTCTGAACGCCTGCGTGTATCTCGGATGCGAACGGAATTGGAAGAAAAGTTGCAGGTCGTCCTGAAGAAACTGCTTGACGCGGATGATGGGAGGAAGCAGTCTGAGAGAGAGATCAGAGCCAAGGAACTGATTTCGACCCTCAAGCGCATTTTCCCGGGAGTCAAGGGCCGCGTCAGTGACCTTTGCAAGCCCAAGCAGAAGAAGTACTCCGAGGCAGTTAGCACTGTCCTGGGTCGGCACTTTGACGCGATTGTTGTTGACAATGAGAAGACAGCGAAGGAGTGCATTCAGCACCTCCGCGACCAAAGAGCCGGCCAGGCCACCTTTATCCCACTCGAGACAATCCAGGTCAAGGCCTTTAACTCGAACCTCAAGGGCCTCCACCGCGGAATGCGTCCAGCTATCGAGACCGTCGACTATGATGACTCGGTTGCCAGAGCTATCAGCTACGCATGCGGGAATGCGATCGTGTGCGATGATTTGGCGACCGCCAAATATCTTTGCTATGAGAGGAACGTGGATGCCAAGGCCGTCACGCTCGATGGCACTGTAATTCACAAGGGCGGTTTGATGACCGGTGGTAAAGGGCCTCAGCAGCACTCCAAGCGCTGGGAGGACTCTGAGGTGGAGAATCTGTACAAGCTCAAAGACAAGCTGTTGGCTGATCTTGCCAACCTACCCAAGGGCCATCGCCGCGGCACCGAAGAGGAGACGCTACAAGGTGACTTGGTTGGCCTGGAGCAACGTCTTGCCTACGCTCGGGACGAGCTCAAAGCACTCGAGAGAAACCTCGAGAGCAAACACAGCGAACTAGAATTCGTCAGAAGTCAGCTCGAAGAAATGCGACCGAAGCTGTCTGAGCGCGAGGATTCACTACAAGAACTCGACGAGACTATTGCAGCATCTCAACAGAAGGTCAGCAGCGTAGAGGATGAAGTGTACAAAAAGTTCTGCAAACGTTTGGGCTATGCCAACATCCGCGAGTACGAAGTTCAGCAGGGATCATTACAGGAGGAGGCAGCTCAAAAGAAGCTCGAGTTCACGACACAGAAAAGCAGGATTGAGAACCAGCTAAGCTTTGAGCGGCAGCGACTGCAGGCTACGATCGACCGCGTTGCTAGCCTTCAGGCACAGCATCAACGTGACGAGGAGTTAATCCAGGAGCTTCAGGCCGAACAGGAGCGCATCAAAAACCAAATGGATGAGTACAATGCTGAACTTGACGTTCTTCGAGAACGGCTTGAGGAGCAGAAGGAGGCATATACTCAATCAGCGGAGAACCTGACACATCACCGTAGGGAGCTCCAGAAGCGCACCAGAGAAGTTGAGGGCACTTTGAAGAACGTCAATGCCCTTGAGGCAGAGATACAACGCAATTCGTCCAGTCGATACGCTCTTCTCCGGCGTTGTAAGCTGGAAGATATCGACATCCCGTTGACAGAAGACTCCAATCCCCTGGATCAGCTTCCCATTGATGATTTGATGCAAGCAGCGGATCCAGACGCCATGGACGTGGATGAGGATGCGAACGGGGTTGGAGACGCCTTTACCGTTCAGGACTACGGCATCGAGGTTGACTTCGACTCTCTTGGAGACACCCTCAAAGAGGTAGGTTACTCAGCATCAGGTCTACAAGACTTCCCACTAATTTGTTGATAGGAGGATGACGAGAAGCTCGAAGAAGAACTGCTCGAGAAAGTCCGGTCTCTCAACAGCGAGCTGGACAAGATGGCACCTAATACACGCGCCATGGAGCGGTTAGAGAGCGTGGAGAACAAGCTTCGAGCCACGGAGAAGGACTTTGAAGATGCCCGGAAGCGTGCTCGGAAGGCGAAGGACGAGTTTGAAGACGTGATGCGCCAGCGGTCAGACCTCTTCAACAAGGCCTTCTCTCACATCTCCGAGCAAATTGGTCCGATTTACCGCGAATTGACGAAGAGCGCAAACTACCCACTGGGCGGCCAAGCGTAAGCCCGATTGGAGCTCCTTCTATTTGACCCGATGCTAACAGAGTGGCAGTTACCTGGACATCGAAGACTCGGACGAGCCCTACCTCGACGGTATCAAGTACCACGCCATGCCTCCGCTGAAGCGTTTCCGGGACATGGAACATCTGTCCGGTGGAGAGAAGACCATGGCCGCTTTGGCTCTGTTATTTGCGATCCACTCCTACCAACCGTCTCCCTTCTTCGTGCTGGACGAAGTCGATGCCGCCCTCGACAACACCAACGTTGCTCGCATTGCCAACTACATCCACGACCACGCTGCTCCGGGCATGCAGTTTATCGTCATCAGTCTGAAGAACGGACTGTTCCAAAACAGTGAAGCCCTGGTTGGAATCTACCGAGATCAGGTGGAAAACAGCAGTAAATCTTTGACTCTTGATGTAAGAACCCTTCTTTTCCCGGCGGACTCCTCACTGAATGAGATACTAATTGATTCCGTCCGTGCAGCTCCGTAAATACAACTAAACGATGATTCGGAAAGAATGGGTGGAGTGGACTGGGCTACTTGACTCTGGTGTGATGCGTAGAATATATCATTCTCTGGTCTGGTCTTGTTGTTTTTTTCTTCAATGAGCAAAATGGTTTTAGCTATCATGCAACGGATTAATGGGCATTTTCTTTCTGCTTTTTTGATTTTCACACTTTTCGACCTTACTCCGATCCCGGAAAGAAGTCCGGATCTTACAACACCAGCCAGTTTCGACAGCAGAGCTCTAGCCTTTCGCAAGTGAACCCCCAACCCCAAAAGATCGTCCCTCCCACCCCCGCCATCCCCGCAGACCCTTTCATCTCCAGCTCTCTCTAATCCCTGACACCCGGAAGAATTCCGGCCTCAACTCCGCCAATAAACCCCTAATGATCCTTATGAAGTTACATCGCACTTACATTAATTGCAGGCGAGTCAATGGCCTCCTCCTCTTGCCCGTTCCATAGCCGCTGGGCTGCACAGGATGCAATGGTATATATAACCCCCGGGATATGGGATGCAAATGTCCCACCCAAGTCCGAAGTACAGTACATGTACATGTCAGGGACCACTACACTGGCAGTTCCGTCTTTACATGAACGACCTATACCCCAGATCCCTCTTGATATACCCTAAGAGTACACGAAATCAAAACCAGCAACAATGATCCTCCACCACCAGGGTCATCAGCTACTCACCGCAGCCCTAGCGGCGCTGAGCACCACCGTCACCGCAGCTCCAGCCGTCACATCACCTAACAAGTCCTCTTCTTCTTCTTCTTCTTCTTCTGTCGTCGTCGTGAGCCAATCCGTCCCCGAATCCGCTGGCTTGCCCGTCTTGCATCCGTTTGTGTCGTTCTCGATTGAGTTTGTCTTCTTTCCGGATTATGCGGGTATGCTTTTTCCTCCTCTTGCCCTATTCTCTTGGGGTTTGGGGTAGTATGATGGGGAAGGAAGGATGGGATATGCCCTGCTTTTTTATGTTTCTAGGTGGGGGATGGTTTCGGCGGTGCATGCAACGAAGAATTCAAGGCTAAGACCAGATGATTTAAGGCAATCGATCTCATCCGAACACCTTCTCGAATAACTTGTTGGATAATCTGGCCGAGTTGGAGGGGGTCAAGCCTTTTATTCGGGTGGGGGGCATTACGCAGTAAGTCTTTGCCCTCTGCATTTGTTTGAGTATTTCGTGTTAACACGCCAGCAAAGAGACTTCGCCCTCTACGACCCGACCCTCCCCACCGCGACGAACGGCACCTACGTCCCCAGCATCAGCACGGACTACCCCCTGATCCTGACGATCGGGCCCTCGTACTTCGAGTCCTACTCGACCTGGCCGGGGGCCCGGTTCATTCACGGCTTCAACCTGGGCCGGAACACCTCGGCGCAGTTCGCGCAGCTGCTGGAGACGGTGCCGCTGGTGTGCGCGGCGCTGGCCAACGGCAAGCTGGCCTACTGGGAGCTGGGCAACGAGCCCGATCTCTACAAGACCTCGGCGCAGGGGGCGGTGCGGCCTCCCACCTGGACGGAGCGGGACTACGTGAATGAGTGGGTGAATAAGACGACGGCCATCCAGCAGAAGATGCGGGCGTCGTGCGCCGGCGGGGAGGAATTCGCTGACGCCAAGTATATCGCGCCGTCGTTTGCGGGGGTCTCCAATTGTTTGAACCCCGTGGTGACGTGGGAGAATGGGCTTGACAGGAAGGGGAATATCGCGCTGAATTCGGAGCATAAGTGCGTCTATCTCTCTCTCTCTTTTGGTTTGATTTTGCTGTTCGCTCAAAGTGTGTGGGTGGCCCTGCCCGTGTACTGACAGAAAGTCTGGCATAGTTACATTGGCGGCGCCACGCAACCGGGCGTTACACTGCAGAAGACACTAATGAACCATACGATGACGGTTCAGAGCGTCGCGCAGCATGTCAATGTCTCGACCATCCTGTTCCAAAAGAACCTGACCACGGATATCCCGTATATCCTGGGGGAGACCAATTCATTGTACAACGAAGGCGCGTCGGGGCTCTCTAATTCGTTCGGCGCGGCGCTCTGGGGCGTCGACTTTAACCTTTACTGCGCGTCGCAGAACATCCGACGAACCCACATGCACCAGGGACGCGACTTTCGCTACGCCTCCTGGCAGCCGGTCGACACCAACAGAACCACCATTGGCACCAAGGCGCCCTACTACGGCAACGTCATGGTGGCGGCTATGCTCCACGGCGGCGAGGGCGGCGAGCAGGATGATGTCCAGATCGCCAACCTTCCGCTGAAGCAGGACACCGAGGCCGCATATGCCGCGTACGTGAACGGTGCCTTGGCCCGGATTGCTGTCATCAACCTGGTGGAATTCAATTACACCGGGTCGACAACGACGGGCAGCAGCGAACGACCCAACGCGTCTTATGTTTTTCAAGTGCCCTCAGCCGCTGCTGGAACTACTGTCTCAGTGCAGCGGCTGATAGCCAATGGTAGTGACGCTATCACGGGGATCACCTGGGATGGGTGGTCGTACAATTATGAACTGAACAATGGGAAGCCTGTGCGTTTGTCAAATATCACGGCGGAAGAGACAGTTCCGGTTAGCACAGACGGAACAGTGAGCATCGAGGTTCCTTATTCGAGCGCTGCTCTCTTGACGTGGTAGGAGTCAGACTTTCGAATAGTGGATGCAGGATGGATGGCTTTCCAAGAGGGGGTTGCTCTTCAGATTGTCAAGCATGGCAAAGCAGGCTGCCGTTTTTGCAGCAGCCTTATAGCAAGCACTGAGAAGGTGCGCATCGTTGCAGAGAATTGAATACTAGGCTCTTAACAGGGGCTGGCGTGTCTCACGTTGCTAAGCCACGTCTTGTCGAGCTGGGACTGTTGATTCATGTTCACTTAATGACTCTGTATTTCCTCGTAACTTACCTCAGGATACACCACATCTACCCGTTCTCCTGACTTCGTGGCCCACTCCCGTAATGCATTCAGTCTGATGGGCGGAGTGATGGACTCTGTTTTGCCAGCCGATCAGGAGAGGCAAGCACGTCCACCATCGTGATCATCGACCTCCGCATTGAAAGAGGCCGAGCTTTGACGTCAAAAGCCTGCCCATCATGTTTCAAAGCCATGGAGAAGGCAATGGGGTGGAGTTCCTGGTCGATCCAAGACCAGACCGAAGTTTCGGAGAATTTAGCCCCAATCCCAGTAAGGCAGAAGTCAATAGTCAATTTCGGATGAGCTAAACATAACATGATTCCTGTCAGTGGTGAGTCGTCGGCGCTGCAAGCCCAGCCACAGCGGGACGTGAGCTTGTGTGGAGTCAATAATCAGTGTTATCCCGTATCCTCCGTTGCGTGGAAAAAGGGAGTCGACAGATCAAATGATCGGTGTACAGAAAACTCTAAGTCCGGATTAGTGGTGCGATATGTAAACTCTCGGAGCCATAGACCTGGCTATGGCATTGCTGGATAGACTTTAGAGGACGGATGGATGCCTTACGCGGTGGACCAGACCACACACATACAGCTCGATTGATCACTTTTTTCTTCCTGCAGCGGATCAGCTACCGGTAGAGAGTCCCCGTCACGAACCGAAAGACAGGTCACTTCTGCATAACTTTGATCGCTTATGGATCGGCTTGGCAAGTCATTCCAGCGCCATGGCAGCAATGATCATGACACATGGCACTGTCATTAATTTCAAAGGGATGTGGTCTTTTCGCTTGGCCCGTGTGAAGCAGTGAGTGCTCAGATCCCGAATTCTGCAAGCCACTATGTCGAAATTCCTGGAAGAATACACTCCCGCATAATTCTGTACGGACGGGGATGTTTTGCTGGCTGCAGCTCTCCCGTAACGGCAATCGCGTTCCATGACCTTGGTGAGAAAGAAAGGGTGTTGAGATAGAATTGACAGATGCTTTTGAAGGAGAGAGTGGCGATTTGTTTGCTTGGAAATGAAGTCGACGAAGAAGGGTTGGATTCATTGCCAACTTCCCCGCACCCGAGTCAAGACGGCCGTTACTTGCTTACTTACAGTAGTAGTGGATTAACTTACCTTCCCTGTTGCATTATTCATTGACTTTTCCCGATCGAGTGACTGCAACAGTAGGTTAGTAGGTTAGTATGCAAGTCGATCGGCAATCAACTTTCCAAGGGAGCTCTATGTTTGCTACCTCCCCTGACTGTTCTGACTGCAGGATCGGTGAAAATGCCTTGGGCCAATCGTCATAGTCGGATGCCAGATCCGCGATTGCCGTTGCATTGATTGTTCGCCAGAAACAATGCAATTGAGGGCAACTGGATGCTATTCAATTCGTAGCCCTGGAGTTTCCTCTTTGGTCTATTCGAAGAGCACTCTGGAGAGTGGTCTGGAGGGTAAGATCTGAATCGACCGACATACAAGCTCGAGATCGCGCAAGCCTATCGGGAAACTGAGGTCGGTTCCGTGCGCCACTAAGGGACACTGCGTTACAGTTTGAAACCTTGTTGCTGAGCCATTCATGAAAGCCACTGGGAAAAAAAGCATCAGTGCGATCAGCGGTCAGGCTACGAGCTCGCTCTGACACCCAGGTACGGTGGGTTACGCCCAACCTCCGCAATAAGCGCACTAGCTCTTAGGGCAGAGATTAAATCGAAATCATCAGCGAAGTTAATCCAGAGTGACCTGAAGCATGGAATCATTCCCACTGGTGGAAAGCCGAAGTCAGAGTCAGTCAACTGTCACTCTAGCGATACTATTCCTGTACGGAGATAGTAAGTGATTTGCCGTAGCACCAACATGCCACAAGGATGGCAGCAATTGACAGCAGCAGCCTATCATCAATTTCCGATTATGGGTTCCGAGTACTTTCCGAAGCCATGTGATCTTCACTGCTAGAAATAGCGAATTAGCTGCTGGTTCTTGCAGGAAGTTTGGCTTTGGACATCAGCTGCGTACGCCATTGGCGTCGCAAATAATCAGCAAAATAGCCAAATCAGATGATGATTGGACGAGACGCTTGTCTCTCTCAAATTGTGAACATTGGAGCCAAACGTACTCGTCGATCAAATTTTGAGATGAAGTACCAGTAGATGTAACATACGCCTTGGATGAAAGCCGTGACTAGTCAGAGATAATCGCACCGTATCTTGTCACCCTGTTCTGGACCTTCAGGGCCGTTTGCCTGTGCGACT